TTTATTTTAGATCAGGATTGAACTTGTAAAAATGGTGGCTTCACGATTTCGATTATATTGAATTACGGATATATTGAAATAATTTGCATGGTCCCCTGAATTTCAATATATCCGGAGTAGGCTGTATACACAATGGAAAACAGAGACTTCTAAACCAATTTACAGTTGCAATTATCAACATAAAACTCTGCTTTCAAAGGCACAGAAATTAAGTTTAACAGGTTTTTTGAAAATTTAACAAGTGCATTATTTAGTTGTGGATTCCTATGTGGTGCAAAAAGGGATACAGGTATTACCATTTTCACCTACACACTGCGTACCGGTAAATTTTGGGAGATAAAATGGAAAAAAGCTTGGTGCACAACATCTCTATTCATAGAGAAGATAGTTATCTAAAAATATGGGTCTGTATCACAAAGATTTTCAATACAATGTCAGAATGAATTTGGATTGGAAATGATAAGATTACTCATCAAAATGAAAACAAAATACATGACAATGACAGTCAAGAGAAAAGTGGCAAAACATCAGTTGCTTGTTCAAGTTAAAAGAGGAAACCAGATGATGATTTGATTTCAAGACCCTCAAAAAGAACTTCACAAATTTAATGACCAGTTATTGGAAGAAAATGATACCCCAGCTTCAAGTTAAGTTTCTGATCAAATTCCTCCTCTTAAATTGTAGGTAATCTGTGCTTTGAGAAATTATGAATTCTACTCTTTCAGTAGTGCTAGTTTTGTTACACTCCCCATCATGCAATACATCATGGTGCACAGCTATTACTTTTCACTGAAGATGGATTTTAACAAAGATTTTGTACTTTTGACTGGTTTTCATTCAATCTGTAAGACTGCTATGCAATGCTAGCTTGACATTGCATGCTTTTCCATTTCCATATTTACTATAAATTTCTATGTATCATGCTTTGAAAAGGTCTCCAGCACAATCTCTGATTTAGCTATAAAGCTTGAATCAGCTATACAGCTTTATTGTTATTGAAAATAGCTTGATTAAGGTTTTTAAACATAATTTAACCCTTAAATATGCATTTTCTTCAAAAGGTACAAAAACTTGCAATTTGATTTTATGATGGCTTTTATATGCACTAGCTAGTCAATTGCTTTTAAACAATACATGAAGAAATCAATTTTCAAAATGTGTCTCCTTGTGAGTACATGTATTTGGAACCAAAGCAACTGATTTGTGTCCAAACAATTACTGGTACTTCTTGAATGAAATTATAATGGAGGCCAATTCTGGTTAACAAGATAATTTAATGTGAAGTAAGTATACTCAGCCATGCCTCAATAAACGAAAAATAGAATACAGTTACACAAACAATGGAAATAATCTTTTGCTTGAAAACATTCAAACATTCAATGGAGAGGAAACAGTAAGTTGTTGGAACATTTTTCCATTCCTTAAGATTTATTCAATAAAATACGTTCAAAAACAAAACATTCAAATGAAGCATGTTTATCCTATCTCTGACTTTGATTGCTTTTTTTAAATAGTTCATTCATTACAACATGAGTTGTCATATATTTGAAACTTTCTATCTATTATCTGATTATCCTGATTATGTCATACATGAAAGGCATAATTAGGCAAAACTGCATTTAAATAGCTTAATGAAGCTATTGAGAATAGTTGAACTTTTTTATAGCCATATATAGCTAATTCAAGCTATATAGTTTTATCAAGAGATTGTGTTGGACCTGATCAATATATGATTTTAGGCAAAAAAAAAATAATAGTCTTGTTTCCTGCTACCCGACCGACCCTATTTTTTTGCACCCGACCCTAAAGTTTTCTTTTTAGTTTTGGGAAAAAACTTGGGAATTTCAGGAATTTCATGTTCCAAAACTGAAAAAAAATATATATTCAAATGGTATATTTCATGAAATTGTATGTTTTAAATATGGACTTTCATAAAATACCACTTGAGTTGTGCATCAAAAGACATTAAATTTAATTTTAAAAGATAATATTGACCTATGACATGTTTAATTTGGTTTTGTATTAGTAAATATCCAAAAAATATCGTTGAAAAAAAATAAAATAAAATAAAAAAATATAGTTTTCCTACCTACCTACCCTATTTTTTTTTTTCAGACTGATAGCAGGAAACAAGACTATTATTTTTTTTTGGCCTTACCTGAACTGAACCCTGCTGCCTGCTGGTGCCCCATATCCAGTCGTCCAAGTCCTGAACCCAGGCTAATGCCAGGAGACTGTCCATATGGAAGATTAAAATTTCTCCACTGATTAGGGTCCATGCCTTGAATTTTTTACAATCTGAAATATAAGATATAACCAGAGACATAAATAACAGATTCAAGACTGTCTGAAATTTTGCAATTTCTCACATACCCCATAATTGTAAATTTTTTTCTTCAAATTTTGAACCAATTAAATTGCATAGAATCTTAAAAATTAAGGATAACATGTAGTAGTATCCAAAAATTTATCAGAATGTTATATTTTCATAAGTTTCTTTATTTAATACAATAACAAAGGAGAAATCTGTAATAGCAACAGGTGACCTGTAGTTGGCCATATCTCCAAGATTTTGCCAACATTCAATCATTCAATCATGTCTTAAGTTTGCCTATAGTTTGCTTTTAATAATAAATATATAGTTTTTTTTAACTTTACGAATCGTAGCTCCAGGACTGTAGCTCTCTGGTTGAGAAAAATCAGGGAGACAAACCAGACATCTACAGATCGAGGCAAGTATTGTAAAAACCTTCGATTTATGCCGATGCTTTTTTGTCACTTGCTTTGGGTATTATTTCTCGTATTAAATGCATTCCCCTGCCAAAAGCATGGTATCCATTAATTAACCATATATTTTACTCATAATCTTGTTACTTTATTTACCCTTTATGGTCTAGAAAGTCATTTTTAAAAATTTGCATTCAGACATCATGTTGGGGTCATGGTAAAATAACTTAACATGCCCAAGTAAATGTCTAATTGAATTTCTTTTTTAGTTTTTTTATCCCCACCCTAAATATGCTTATTTAGATTTTCTTGGCATGGAGGTCAAACGTGGTCAACAAGAATTAGATAATTGATTGGTAATAATTCAGCACAATATAAAGTAATCATATTCATAGCCATGCCTTGATCACGACAAACAAGATGGTATACAGTTTCAAAACAAGGGAATTACCTCTTTTGCTTAAAAATGTTCAAAAGCAGAAATGTTTAAATTTTGTTTGATTTAGTTTCCCCTTTAACATGTTTAACAGTCCATAATACAAATATGAGTTATCACATACTTGCAACATTTTGTCTGTTTCTAATAAATATTTGTGAAAAACTGTATTGAAATAGCTTCAACAAGCTTTTTTGAATACCTTTCTAAAGCTATATAGCTAATTCAAGCTATATAGCTAAATCGAGAAATTAACTGTGCTGGACCTGTCATGTGAACCAGCCAGGACAACATTCGAAACAGTCAGCTTTTATAAATTCATTATGAATTCCACTTATTTTAATATATTAGACATGCATTCTACAACTGTCTTCTATGTTGTATGTTTCTATCATTATAGTGAACATCACGTTACATTTGGCAACTGTGATCTGCTGTCAACATTTTATTTTCAACTTCAACATGGTTAACATCTTTCAGTTGGAAGGTAAACTCCCTTTGTGTCTGGTTCTTACATTTTGATATGTTCCCCCCAGTGTCTTAAACATTTACAAACTGTACGATTTCCATTGTATCAATGCAAAGAACTAGCAAAATACATATCAACAATCATAACTACCTTGGCCATGGATTTGCCATCTTTCTATTATTATTACCCAGCATTCAATGTAATACGAGAGGTTACGGGTGGAAATTACATGATTTATCCGGTGTCAATAAGATCTGATTATAAAATGGAAAAATCAGACTTCATTTTCACTTTAATGATATAGATTATGTAGCATAAAAATTACTGCTTTATACAGGTTTGCAATATTAATTCACAAGTTATAAACGTAAGACGAAGAAACCGGAAGTGTTTGCCTCATTCGTTTCTCCTCTTGGTTTAACGCATGAAGGGAATAACGGACCTCCATTGCATTACTGCATGAAAAAGGACGGGACTCTCCATAAGAACCATGTCTTTGGAGGGTAAGTTAAGTGTTTAAGAAGTAAATATTTTGAAATAATTATTATATGAAAGAGGATATACTGTATGAATTTCATTCCGTGTGTACTTATGACAATGAAGATGTTATAAATTGGTTGTGATTCTTAATGATTACAATGCAATGTCGATTATTTATTGCTTATAGAGATTCAGTCCTTGTGGGAAGTGCCGTGTATTGCGCATTTCTGCTCCTTGTTTAGATCAGCATTCGACCTCCCAGACTTTGATATTGAGGTAATGTGACGACCGAAACAAATCTAAGAGTTTTAAAACACATTGCATTTGATTCGAAAATTTTCATAATTTTTACATCATTTACTTTCACTTTGTGATTCCTATAATTTTTAGAATTCCATTCTGCACAAATTATTTATCATTAAAACAGGAACAAATAATCAGACTAGTTTATTTTGCCAGTGTAACATTTTTTAAGAAAAAGGTTAGTATGAATTTTCTCTTAGAGTTATCTCCCATGCAAGATTTTTTGTTTCAGATAGGTAAACAGAAACTAGAAAGTGAAAGTCGCATGGTTTTGTTTACAAATGAAGAGGCTATCATTAGATAATCATTTAAGTTCCATTCTAGATCACAAAGCCATCTGCTATACCATATCTCAGCTGAATTATTTTTGTATTTTAGGACTTGGAGGAAGCACTACTAGACTCGACAAAGGAGGAAAATGTCTTCTTTTTGACAGATTTAATGTGTAAAATCTTGAGGGGATACTATGGCAGAGATGATATTGAGTCAGTATCATTCTGTTTTAGTTTTTACATATGACTTTCATGAATATTTGTTTCTTTTTTTCATACCACATTTTATGAATCTTGAAGTACATTTGTTTACTTTATTCAAAATCTGAGACAGTGTTTACTCATTTGCATTTTGAAATCAAACCTTTTGAATTTATTTTTTTGACTTCTCAGTATAACCCCAGCTTAGAAGTGATAAATGAGCTAGTATACTCTCAATAATTATTGATTTTGATCGAATTGTTTCATGGCTAAGATGGTTTAAAAGGTTTGAAAGATATCAATGTTTTCAGATTCAAATTTTCTTGAAAATTTTTGTAGAACCTATAATTGTGAGGTTTTCCTAAAAGACACTTTGAAGTACAACTGGGAAATGTTAGAGAAAAGGGAGGAGAACCCACTTGCAAATGCAGAATTTAAGGATCTTCCTCTGAGGACTAAAGTAGAGATTTTACAGTGCCTGTGTGATTATAGACTTGATGCCACTGATATTCTGGATCAGCTGAAGGTTAATTTATGTCCTTTTTAGAAAAGCTCTTTATCACTAGCAGTGTTGTGCTAATTGACATACACCAAAGATCAACCTAGGGGATGATTTAGTGTAAAAGTCACCCTGAGGTTTAAAACTTAGCCAAATTCTCAAGAGAAAGAAGTTTTAGTGGCCTTACTCTCATAAGATCATCATACTTAAATTCAATTGGAGATGAAAATGCATAAAGTAATCCCTCTTAAAGCCATTTTCAGAGCAGCAGCTTTGAAAATCTCAGCAGGAATCAATGTGGTATTGTCTTATCACTGAGCTGTAAAAATTAGTATGCAACGCATCTCACAAACAACCGTCATTTTTATGCAACTAGTTATTAAATTACTGTCATGCATAAATGTTAAACTGATCATAAAAACAGTTACAGTTATCATGTAAATAGCTAATCAAAAGAGCATTTTCATTCTGATATTTGTTTTGCAAAATGATACTACATATTAACATCTAAGAATTGTTTTTTCACAAAAAATTATATCTACTTAATTTTTTTTTTTTTTTTTTTTTTTTTTGAAAATCAGTCATGAATTAATGTTTCAACTGTTTGATATGCTGCACATAGATTTTAAGCTCACCTGAGCTGAAAGCTCAAGTGAGCTTTTCTGATCACATTTTGTCTGTAGTCCGTCTGTCTGTCTGTCTGTCCATCCATCTGTAAAATTTTCACATTTCCAACTTCTTCTCCTGAACCACTGGGCCAACTTTAACCAAACTTGCCACAAAGCATCCTTGGGTGAAGGGGATTCAAGTTTGTTCAAATGAAGGGCCACTCCCTCATTCAAGGGGAAATAACTGGGAAAAAGTGAAAATTTGGTGGCATATTTTAAGAATCTTCTTCTCCAGAACCATTTTTGTTATATAGTGTAGATTCAAGTTTGTTTAAATTATGACCCCTGGGGGTAGGGTGGGGCCACAATGGGGGATCAAAGTTTTCTATCGGAATATATAGGAAAAAACTTTAAAAATCTTCTTCTCAAGAACAGCAAAGCCATGATTTGTCATATTAATATGGAAGCATCCTCAGGTATTGTAGATTCAAGTTTGTTCAAATCATGACCCCTGGGGTTAGGTTGGGCCCACAATGGGGGATCAAAGTTTTACATAGGAATATATAGGGAAAAGCTTTAAAAATCTTCTTCTCAAGAACAGCAAAGCCTTGTTTAGTCGTATTGATATGGAAACATCCTCAGACAGTGTAGATTCAATTTTGTTCAAATCATGACCCCTGGGGGTTCGGTTGGGCCACAATGAGGGATCAAAGTTTTGGATAGGAATATATAGGGAAAAATCTTTTCCTCAAGAACAGCAAAGCCTTGTTTAGTCATATTGATATGGAAACATCCTCAGATAGTGTAGATTCAAGTTTGTTCAAATCATGACCCCTGGGGGTAGGGTAGGATCACAATGGGGGAACAAAGTTTTGCATAGAAATATATAGGGAAAAATCTTTAAAGATCTTCTTCTCAAGAACAGCAAAACATTGTTCAGTCTTATTGATATGTAAGCATCCTCAGAGAGTGTAGATTTAAGTTTGTTCAAATCATGACCCCTTGGGGTTGGGTGGGGCCACAATGGGGGATCAAAGTTTTGCATAGAAATATATAGGGAAAATCTTCTTCTCAAGAACAGCAAAGCCTTGTTTAGTCATATTGATACGGAAACATCCTCAGATAGTGTAGATTCAAGTTTGTTCAAATCATGACCCCTGGGGGTAGGGTAGGGTCACAATGGGGGAACAAAGTTTTGCATAGAAATATATAGGGAAAAATCTTTAAAGATCTTCTTCTCAAGAACAGCAAAGCATTGTTTAGTCATATTGATATGTAAGCTTCCTCAGATAGTGTAGATTTAAGTTTGTTTAAATCATGACCCCTGGGGTTAGCTTGGGGCCACAATGGGGGTTCAAAGTTTTACATAGGAATATATAGAAAAAAAAACTTAAAAAATCTTCTTCTCAAGAACAGCAAAACATTGTTTAGTCATATTGATATGTAAGCTTCCTCAGATAGTGTAGATTTAAGTTTGTTCAAATCATGACCCCTGCAGTTAGGGTGGGGCCACAATGGGGGTTCAAAGTTTTACATAGGAATATATAGGGAAAAAACATTAAAAATCTTCTTCTCAAGAACAGCAAAGCCATGTTTAGTAATATTGATGTGTGAGCATCCTCAGGTAGTATAGATTCAAATTTGTTCAAATCATGACCCCTGGGGGTAGGGTGGGGCTTCAAGGGGGGATCAAAGTTTTACACAGAGATATAGGAAAAAACTTTAAAAATCTTCTTTTCAAGAACAGCAAAGCCATGTTTAGTCATATTGAAATGGAAGCATTCTCAGGTATTGTAGATTCAAATTTGTCCAAATCATGACCCCCGGGGGTAGGGTGTGGTCATAATGGGGGATCTAAGTTTTACATAGGAATATAAAGGAAAAAATCTTTGTCTCAAGAACAGCAAAGTCATTTGTTATATTGATATGGAAGCATCCTCAGGTAGTTTAAAATTCAACCCCCCCCCCCCTCCCCCTATAAACTTTTCAATACTGAATTGATTTGTGCTTTTTCCTAGCCATTGTGTTCAGGTGAGCGATGTGGCCCATGGGCCTCTTGTTTGTTTGTTTTTTAATTTAATTGCATAATCTAAATTTTTCTCACAGAAAATCTTTTGGTTTCAAAAATGTATTTAAAAAAATCAAAAAGGAAGGGGGGTTAAAGTCATAAAGTCATTAATCATAGGAGTATCAAGTTTCCCTGATTTTAACTTTTCTCTAATTTGCTTTGAGGGAGAAGTGAATTCTCTTTAAATTCCAGGTCAATGTTTGTTCCTGATACACCACTAATAATGTGGAAATTTACGTGTAGGAGGCAATTTATGCTAATTATGTGGTAGAAAAGCTTTCTCATAATTATTTCCCAACATACCACTGCATTTAAACATATTTTATTCAGTTTTAACAATACATAATCCTGGTACCAAGGAAATAACCTTAACCTGAAATGTTCTTGCTTTTATGCCTAACTCACGTAATCAACAACGTGTAAATATCCTCATTTAAGTGAATCTTTTGAACGCAGGGATTTGATGGTGATAATATGAGAATAGAACCTCTGGGAAAGGATGCTGTCGGAGCAAAATACTGGTACTTCTACGGGAGTCGCCTCTATAAAGAAGACCCAGAGCCTGAGGAGGTTAAGTGAGTGAAAATATTACTAAGCTATAATTACAGATTTATGAGTTCTGAATGAATGAGTTAGTTCAGCTTCCTTTGATTATATGTTTAGTTGAAATGTTTGAATTACCTTATTTTGCCATATGATATAGACAAAAAAGTAAGAAAAAAGAAAAGAAAAACAAGGGAGAAAATAAAAAGAAGAAAAAACAGAACAAGAAAGAGGAAACAGTGAAAACCTCAAGAGGACGAAAAGTAAAGAAAGCTATTAAAGAGGAGGAAAGGTATTGTGAAAATGATATGCCTGATTAGACATATCTGTCTATCTTAATTGTTAATGGCTCTCAAATTGATGTTTTTTGTTAATCATAGATCATGAAGACATGAATGCATGTTAGGAATAAGATATTTTCTTTCCCTTTTTCTGTTGTTTAAAAAATAATTATTTGTCTTTAGCATAAATGTATATGTTAAATTACTCCTTTGAACATCACTTTCATGGATTTTGAAAGGGAATTCAGGAGAAAAATTCAAGTCTATTATTTGAGAACCGGTAGACTGTATACTTATGTTTTGTAGGCTAATGTTCTGTATCATGTTTTGTAGTAGAGGCTTATTTGTCTGTACAGTTGTTCTGTATCATGTTCTGTAGTATTCTATTTTTCCGTGTAATTATCCTGTACCATGTTTTGTAGTAGAGTTCTATTTATTACATTTTCAACAGTGAAATACTGTGATTTATTTATTAAAAAAAAGTTATTTTCTTTCATGGTGTGAAAGAATACTAAAATGATATACTGTCACAGTGTGAAAGGATATCAAAGTAGGTAAAATGACTGTGTTAAGAAAAGACTGAGGCAAAGGGATGTCAAAGAAAATGTTATAAACAGAAAATTCAATGTTTTGTAGTGAGACAGGATTTTTCGATATTTTCACTTGTGCTTTGCACTCGTGAAAATAATAAAAAAAATTCCTGTCCCACTCATGAAATAAACTCAAAATCCAACAACAAAACATTGAATATCCTTTATTTATCTGTGTAATTGTTCTGTATTGTTTTATAGTAGTGAGGAAAATGAAGAGGAAGAGGAGGAGGAGGGGTCAGATTCAGCCTCAGATGATGAGGTCAGTTTGTCCCAACTGTCCAGTAGATCCACTCCAAGGGGCAGAAAGAAAATAAAGTAAGAACAAAGGATGCAAGACCTTTTATTTGTGGATACTTAATGGTACATGTACAGTGTATATGGTAGATTTTTAAGCTTGAACTTTTTAGGTCGCCTGAATCACTATTGGTTTTTTCAGCTCAATGCCATGTAGAAACTTTTTTCACATTTTTAACTTCCCCCAGAACTATGGGGATGATTTCAACGAAATTGCTTAAGCAATCATTTTGATAGAGATTCATATTTCTTGAAATGAAATGGATGCATGTCCCTTTCTAGAGGGAGGTCATAGAAAATAGAAATAGATTGGAGGCATTTATATAAATTTTCTCAAGTAAACTAAACCAGTATAATAGAACATTTATATGGAAGTTTCTGTGCAAAGTTAAGATTAAAATTTCCTCATAGATGGACAGAATCTGAATATATGCATGAAAGGGTGGTTCAGTATTTCCATAAAAATATAGAATTTTCTCCCCAAATGAACAATGATATGTATCATGGCCTCTTATCCATTTTTATACACCCACCCCCACCCCAACCAAAGTTCTAGGAGGAGGGGATACTGAATCACTGTATACATCCATCCTGTCTATTTCTCCATCAGTATGGATAGCTATGGACAGAAAACTGCCAATATGGAGAAACTGTGCAAATTAGATGCATTCTTTGTTCATGCAACCATGTAAGGGAGAGGAGTATCAGTTCTGTTCAGACAAATATAGTTTTTAGCTCACCTGAGGCTGAAAGCTCAAATGAGCTTTTCTGATCACCCACTGTCAGGCATCTGTCCATCAGTCTGTAAACTTTTCTCTTTTTTTTTTTTTTGACTTCTTCTCAAGAAGTACTGGGCCTGTTATAATCAATGTTGACACAAAGAATCCTTGGGTAAAGGGAATTCTAAATTGTTCAAATGAAGGTTCATGCCCCCTCTAGGCAGGGATAATTTTTTAAAGAAGGCAAAAATAGTGAGGGTTTGTTAAAAAAATCTTCTTCTCAAGAACCTTTGGGTAAGAAAAGATGAAACTTCAGTGGAAGCTTCTAGAGGTAGTGTAGATTTTAAATAATACAAATCATGACTCCTGGGGGTAAGGGGGGCAACAGTAAGGGATAAAAGTTTAACATTGACATATGTAGGAAAAATCTTTAAAAATCTTCTCAAGAACCTCTGGATCAGAAAAGATAAAACTTATTTGAAAGCTTCCTTAGGTAGTGTAGATTCTAAATTGTGCAAATCATGGCCTCCAGGAATAGGATGGGGCCACAATAGGGGATCAAAATTCAAAATTTCACATTAAATTTTGTAAGAAAACAATTTTGAAAAATCTTTTTGTAAGAAAAAGAAAAGAACCATTAATTTGCAAACATTCCCAAGTTCTGTGGATTTTTTTTTTCAAATTATGAACTTCGCAGCAATGTTAAGGCTTCCTGAAGCCCTAAAAGCGTTCAAAACAAGTCACTACATCGCAAGGTCGGTTTTGATTTTAATTTGTAAGTTACGTACTTAAGTAGGGCCAACTTTTATAAAGAGTTCTCTTTGCTATATATAAACATATTTGTTATGATATCACATGACTTCGTTGATCATGTGACAGTCATTTATAATTTTTTGAAGTGCTTCACATAAATTGCTTTGGCGCAGCTGATTAATGCAATTATTATATTTAACTTTTTGTTATATAAATAAACTCGTATCCTTGTGTACCTGAAATGTGGTTGGGAAAAGTTATACTATTACTCGGGTACAAAATACTTCACAATAAATTCAACTTACTGACAAATTTGAGGATATTTTCCACACAATATCGTCATCTGTATTAAAACAAAGCCATCACAAATTTTTCCCAAGCAAGATTCAGTTAGAGGGAGAACTCCTCTTCCAGATTTCCATACAAGATCTCAAATAAATCCTCATTAATCACCTGCGCCAGGCTCTTTTATGCACATATTATGAATTCTAACCATGGGTATAAAACAGGGTAAATGTCAAACGTATATTTCTTGTTCATATTTTGAACACGCTGAATTTTAAACAAGAGTAATAAAGCAGAATATTTTAAAATATTCGGACATAAAAGAATTAAAAATATGATTAACACATATTTATTTTACAATAGCTTTCTGACATTTTATATGCAGATTGAAAATAAGGTGTAAAGTTTATGACACTCTCCCCATCAAAACAGCTCAAGTTTGCAATGATTTGACGTCATTTTCAATTATGACGACATACATTTGTAGTTCAGAGAAGAGAATGCACAGAGTACACTGCAATATTTTATGGGAAGCCTTAACGTACCTGCATTGGGCTTATAGTTTGCTAAAATCAGGATCAAATTTTACATAATCCATGTATGCAGGAAAAGAATTTTCTTCTAAATAACTGCCTTCAAGGTCAAGTTAGTCATACTGATATTGACACATCCCCATGATGTGTGGATTCAGAGACCCTCTAGAGTTATGGTGGGGTCATAATATGTTTTTTTTTTCAATATAAAAAAACCTTTTAAAAGCTTATAAAGAACAGCAGGGATAGGGTAAATCTGGTGAGTGTTGTGGCCCATGGGCCTTTTTTTTTAATCATGGCCTTTCATCTATGTTCTTAGCATTTTTATTGTAACATGATAAAACAAATACTTTTTCTCAGAACAAAGTCAAAAATTATAAAATAAACAAAAACATTCACTTGTGATGTACATTCAAATCTGTTCAATTCATGACTTAAAGAGTTTTTTATCTCGCCTGAAATGAAAGCTCAAGCAAGCATCACATTTTGTCCGACCATTTTGGTATATTAGAAAAATGGCGAGTTGAAACATTGACGATTCGCTTATGTAAAAGTTGACAAGTGAAAACTTCTACGATAATTAGGAAGGTGTCAATTTCGTCAATGTTTCCACATCGTCAAAGTTTCCACATTTACAGTTATTGGAAAAAATCTTAAGAGCAGCAAAGCCATGAATAGTCATATTAATATGGAAGCATCCTCAGGTAGTTTAGATTCAAGTGTGTTTGTTCAAATCATGGCCCTCAGGGAAGGGTGGGGCCATAATGGGGGATTAAAGTTTTACACAGGATGAAACCATGATTAGTCATATTGATTTGGAAGCATCTTCATATGGTATAGATTCAAATCATGACCCCTTGGGATAGGATGGGGCCACAATGGTTGATCAAAGTTTTACATAGGAATATATAAGAGAAAAAAATCTGTTGATGAAGAAAGCAGGATCATTTTGACTCGGGTGATCATTATGGCCTATGGGCATCTTGTACAATACTAAGACGATTGTCAGGGCCCATATCTCTAATTTTAACTGTAAATAGACAATAAATAGTGAAAAAAAAAAACATTTAAAAATTACTGGTGCAAACTTTATTCTTTTATTTTTAGAAATGATGAAAATAAAACACCTGGCAGGCAGAAAGGGAGAGTGGCAGAATTGAAAGACAGGTACCATTTATTTTTTATTAGTTTTTTTTGAATGCTTTTATTGTTGAATAACATAATTAAGGTGAGGAAGTTTATGTATGCTAAGGTGAAAAATTCTCTTAAACTGGCAGGGCTGAATTGACCCTTTTTGATACAGTGTTCTGTATCCTTTCAAATATGAATTTTAAATTGTAAAAAAAAAATGGGGAAATATTGATGAATTACAAATATATACTACATGTATTATGTTTTACTGTAAAATAGAGACTTAGATTTTAGGCTTATCTTCTAATCACGTCATTATAAACTGTTATTACCTGAAAATTCAGATATCTGATCAAAAGGACTGAAAAATGAAATCTGTGATTCCTGCATTGGTGTAATTTTTTCTTGCTGTATTCTTAGTGAGGAAACCCCTGTACGGAGAAGTAGCAGAGGACGCCTTCTTACAAAAAAGGGACCATTGTACAGGTTAGAATTACAGCTGTTCTGTCTATTTTTTTCTGTATATTTGGAGGTTTTCTAAGAATTCTGGCTTGTTTTGTGACTTTTGAATAGATGTCCCATATTTAACATATTTAATTTGTTCTTTGGGATGATGGCTTGGGGACAAAAAATCATAGAAACATTTTGCAGAATATAACAGAAAGTAACAATGGAAAAAAAGAAGCCATCAAAAGGATACTGTAGAAGAAATTTTTCTGTGTTGTATTAATTTATGCTTTGTACACGGTCACAAATTTTCAGCATGCTTCAAGTATATGTAAGTCATATAGTGGCAATCTACCGGTAAAATTTTCAAGTAATTTTCTGTCTCCAATTGAACAGAAATTGTGATTCCATGGAATTTGATCCTGTTGAAAAAAGTACATTTACAGAAGTTTGATTAAATGTGTTTGAGAAAGTTATTTATCTATTATGATAGTGATCTTTTGTTGGTCTCACTACAAACATTGTGTTTATTTTTACAGTGACAGTGAACAGAGCCCAGCTCCAAAGCAGAATGTCAAAAACAGGTTTGATTTTAAGTTTTTAGTTCACCTGAGTCAAAGGCTGAAATGAAATTTGTTCAATAGAAGGAAAACACCCCATTTCAAGGGGGAAATAATTAAGAAATTTGTGGAAATCAAGATGGGTCTTTTAACATTCTCCTACATAAGAACACATGGATCAGAAAAGACAAAACATATGTGAAAGCTTCTTCATATAGTGTTGATTCCAGTTTGTTCAGATCATGCACTTAGATTTAATTTTTAATGAACTGCAGCTTGAAAGATATGAATAATAGATGTACATTTATACCTTTAGAATGACTGTGCCCACCAATTCTGGTAGGAGGAGCTCACGTAGATCTACTGCAGCAGTAGAAAAAGAGATTAACAGGTAACTGATGTGTCAGCCATGTAAATGTTTCAGACACGATCAAAAGTGTAAGGGGGGGGGGGGGGGGGGGGGGGCAGGGGGGGGGGGGGAGAGACTCCAAAATATAATATTATTAGGTACATGTAAAGTAGTCTATCAGCTGAAAAAAATCTTTGTAGATTTCATTCACTGATTTTTGCTAATTTACAGTAAAACACGCTTATAACGAAGTGCCAAGGACCGACAGTTTTGCTTCGTTATAAGTGTAATTCGTTATATCCATTTATTGTTTAATGTATTTTAAAGTCGAGGGGAATGAAAAATATTTTCGCTATAAGTGTCAATTCATTATAAGCATGTTTGATATAAGTGTGTTTTACTGTATAATGTATATGACAGTGTTTTTTCCCTTATATAACTGGTACAAATAAACAGTACCATTCCCAATGCAAAAAACGTTAATTTTTCCCAATTTTGAGACCAAAAATTCCCAATTCAACTGCCAAGCAACAGACTACAATGACATCGTATTTCTTTTTATATGAAATATTGTACAAGTTGACTAATTGTTTCACTTCCACTTATATTGAAAAAAAAGATTAGTATGATGATAGGGCGGGACCTGTGGCGTAGAAAGCTTAGCATCAAACATTTTGACAAATTGAAAGCATGAAAATGCGAAAACAAGGGACATTGATATGAAAAACAATGAATACTTGTTGTTTATTCTTTAAAACATGGAGTAATAGGTAATGAGGTTGGAATAAACGCAAAATACGTGTCATTTGTTTAAATGACAGAAAATTCTCCTTTGTTCTACTTCAATGCTATTTTTCCCAATTGAACCAGTACCGGACCCTTTCCCAATGGGTAGAAAAAAATCGCTGTATGATGAGAAGGGTTGAATTTAACCAGAGACATAATGTATGTAAATAACAGAGATTCACACTACACCATATAGTATTATATATCAATCTGAAGTTGAATTTATATTTATGCTATTAATATATACATGTATGGTAGGATTTATAAAATTTTACAACTATACATTAAGTAACAAAAACAAAGAGGGCAAGAATCGAAAGTTGCCCAAATCTCGGAGATAATGGCTGACCACTAGTCACCTAGAGATAATAGCTGACCACTGGTCATCTAGAGATAATAGCTGACCACTGGTCACCTAGAGATAATAGCTGACCACTGGTCACCTAGAGATAATAGCTGACTACTGGTCACCTAGAGATAATGGCTGACCACTGGTCACCTAGAGATAATAACTGACCACTGGTCACCTAGAGATAATAGCTGACCACTGGTCAACCTAGAGATAATAGCTGACCACTGGTCACCTAGAGATAATAGCTGACCACAGGTCACCTAGAGATAATAGCTGACCACAGGTCACCTAGAGATAATAGCTGACCACAGGTCATCTAGAGATAATAGCTGACCACTGGTCACCTAGAGATAATAGCTGACCACAGGTCACCTAGAGATAATAGCTGACCACAGGTCATCTAGAGATAATAGCTGACCACTGGTCACCTAGAGATAGTAGCTGACCACAGGTCATCTAGAGATAATAGCTGACCACTGGTCACCTAGAGATAACAGCTAATAGCTGACCACTGGTCGACTGATGTCTTTTGAAACGTCTCCATTTTTATTTAGTCAGATAAGAAAACTTACAAAAATATAACATTCTGAATAATTTTTTTTTTAAGAAGTTAAAAGGTTTTATTTTGTACTTTAATAATTTTTAAGATATGATTGATTTAAAACATGCAAGAATTGGAAAACACAAATACAATGTAATAAGGCCTATAGATCTCCCAGTAGATTTCTGGGGATTCTAACAGTTGCAGATCTCTGTTATGTGACAAACATGAAGACAAAAAATGACAAATGTTTCTTACTGCAGTGATTCAGGAATTGAGGAGGAAAATGAGGATGAGAGCAATACCCCAAGGTCCTCAAGGAGGAATTCTTTGTCAAGCATGAATGACACAAACACACCTAGATCTCGAACTGGAAGAAAACAAACATTGTATGTAAATTACACAAAATTGAGTGATAAAAAATATTATTTCTCAAAATAGCCATGATCAATAGAATTATTTTCTTAGGAATGGAAACAAGCATAGCAATTAATTGAATAAATTTATGTATCTAGAATTTATTAAACTTTTATAGAAAATTTTCAAATGAGGACCTGTAAAAGAGCACACATGTACTCTCTATTTCAAATTTAAGTTTAAAGATAGTTTTTAAGAACAGAAACTGACAGTTTAATCTTTTGTGTAGGGTTCCAAGAGAGGGTACTCCTGAAATGCCACCAATAGTTCAACGAGGAAGACCTCGGAAGAAAAACAGGTAGGGTATGACTTTTCTACTTACAGAGGACCCCTGAAGAAAATATACTTACTCAATACCATTAAAACTGTCTAAAGTGACACCTGTGCAATCCCATTCACTGTGAATTCCCATTTTTAGGTCACCTGAGTAAACTCAGGTGACCTATTGCTATCCGTTTATGTCTGTCGTCGTACGTCATACGTTGTTCGTCGGTCGTAAACTTTTGAACATTTTTAGCTTCTTCTCTGGAACCGCTCGACCAATTTCAACCAAATTTGGCATATAGTATCTAGTGAAGGGGAACAAAAATTGTGAATTTCATGGTCCCTGCCCCCCTGGGGCCTGAGGGGTGGGGCTAAAACCACCAAAATTAATGCAATCTTTAAAAATCTTCTTCTTTACTCCTGGACATCAAGCAGTCAAACTGTTGGCATCATTGTAATGAGCATTGAGTCCTCTACCAAAATTGTGAAATTCATGGCCCCAGGGTCAGGGGTTCTGGTGCTAGGGCGGGGCTATATAGATCATATAGTGAAAGTGCATTATTTCTTTGAAAATCTTCTTCTCTGCTCCTGGGTATTAAATAAACTAACTAAGTATATAGTTATGATGAGTAAGAGTGCCTCTTCCAAAATTGTGAAATTCATGGCCCCAGGGTCTGGGATTCTGGTGTTAGGGCGGGGCTCTATTGATTATATAGTGAAAATGCATTAATTCTTTGAAAATCTTCTTCTCTGCTCCTGGGTATTAAATAAACTAACTAAGTATATAGTTATGATGAGTAAGAGTGCCTCTTATAAAATTGTGAAATTCATGGCCCCAGGGGCAGGGGTTTTTGGTGTTAGGGCGGGGCTCTATTGATTATATAGTGAAAATGCATTAATTCTTTGAAAATCTTCTTCTCTGCTCCTGGGTATTAAATAAACTAACTAAGTATATAGTTATGATGAGTAAGAGTGCCTCTTATAAAATTGTGAAATTCATGGCCCCAGGGGCAGGGGTTCTGGTGTAAGGGCGGGGCTCTATTGATTATATAGTGAAAATGCATTAATTCATTGAAAATCTTCTTCTCTGCTACTGGGTATTAAATTCAGTAACTAAGTACATAGTTAGGATGAACAAGAGTGCCTCTTCCAAAATTGTGAATTTCATGGCCCCTGGATCGGGGTTCTGGTGTTAGGGCAGGGCTCTATTGATTATATAGTGAAAATGCATTAATTCTTTGAAAATCTTCTTCTCTGCTCCTGGGTATTAAATAAACTAACTAAGTATATAGTTATGATGAGTAAGAGTGCCTCTTATAAAATTGTGAAATTCATGGCCCCAGGGGCAGGGGTTTTTGGTGTTAGGGCGGGGCTCTATTGATTATATAGTGAAAATGCATTAATTCTTTGAAAATCTTCTTCTCTGCTCCTGGGTATTAAATAAACTAACTAAGTATATAGTTATGATGAGTAAGAGTGCCTCTTATAAAATTGTGAAATTCATGGCCCCAGGGGCAGGGGTTCTGGTGTAAGGGCGGGGCTCTATTGATTATATAGTGAAAATGCATTAATTCATTGAAAATCTTCTTCTCTGCTACTTGGTATTAAATTCAGTAACTTAGTACATAGTTAGGATGAACAAGAGTGCCTCTTCCAAAATTGTGAATTTCATGGCCCCTGGATCAGGGGTTCTGGTGTTAGGGCAGGGCTCTATTGATTATATAGTGAAAATGCATTAATTCTTTGACAATCTTCTTCTCTGCTCCTGGGTATTAAATTCAGTAACTAAGTACATAGTTATGATGAGCAAGGATGCCTCTTCCAAAATTGTGAGTTTCATGGCCCCAGGGGCAGGGGTTTTTGGTGTTAGGGCGGGGCTCTATAGACTATATAGTGAAAATGCATTAATTCTTTGAAAATCTTCTTCTCTGCTCCTGGGCATTAAGGTGATAAACTAAGTACATAGTTATGATGAGGAGGTGGGCCTCTTCCAGAATTGTGAAAGCCATGGCCCCTGGGTCAGGGGTTCTGGTGTTAGGGCAGGGCTCTATTGATTATATAGTGAAAATGCTTTAATTCTTTGAAAATCTTCTTCTCTGCTACTGGAGATTATTTTAACAAACTAAGTGCATGATTATGATAGACAAGATAGACAAGGATGCCTCTTCCAAAATTTTTAAATATATCGCCTCAGTTTTTGGGGTTCTTGAGGGGGGGGGGGGGGGGGCTCTATTGATTATATAGTGAAAAAGCATTAATTCTATTAATTAATCATTAATTAATCCTGTCTGCTCCTTAGTGTTGAGCTGATAAATAAATTGCTTAGCTATGATGAAAATGGGAGCTTCGAACAGAATTTTTAAATCTTTTGGTCCTAGGGTCAGGGGTTCTGGCATAACGAGGGGGGGGGGGGGGCTTTTGATAATATAGTGGAAAAGTGTTAATTCTTTGAAGTCCATAGTAATGATGATGAGGGTAACTCTTCCAAATTTGTAAATTTCTTGGCCCTTGGTCTTGGGTTCTGGTGTTAGGGTAAGGCTTTGTTGAATCTGTAGTGAAAATGCATTGTACCTGTGAAATTCTTCTCTGCTTCTGGGCATATTGGAAGCAAACTGAGTAAAAGTTTAAATGATATGAGTAAGCGTATTTCTACCAGATTTTTAAACATCTGGACCATTCGTCTAAGCATTTTGGTCCTGGGCAGGGCTCTATTAATTTGTATTCTACTGAGAGAAGTTATTCCCCTTTTCCATTCACCTTTGATAATTAATCACTGTAAATAATGTATTTGAAAGGTTAATAGAATAAGATAATTATGCAAGAATGTTTATCGTATAATTAAAAAAGTACTTTCTTAGTTTTAATAATCAGGTAGACCTGTAAGTAACAGATAAATAAAAATGAGACAAAAATAACTTATCTTATTAAAAGTTCTTCAAAGAGCATAAGAGAGGTCAATGCTAGAGATATTAATATGGGTTTAAAAATAGTACAGAAGCACTAATAGTTTGTTAATAGTCTGCATGGTGATAGTGTTAAGTGGGGGACAGATTAGAACTCAATTTCTGAGTTGATAGTGAATACTAGACTAATTATTTTGTTGATCCTGATCTTCCTACTTCTCTTGTTTTTGTTCCTCTGCTCTGCCTCTGGGTATTAAATAATCAAAGTAAGCATGCTAACTGTATAGTTATGATGAGCAATAGTGCCTCTTTCAAAATTGTGAATTACATTGCCTCTGGTGCAAAATACAAACCAAATTCAATTGTTGGAAAGTTGTTACGCGATATTCAGGTGACCTATAAGGCCCGTGGGCCTCTTGTACTGTTTTCTATGTGCTTTACACTGTGCAATCCGACACTCTGTCTTTTCTGACACAAAATTTGCCTCTGAGTGTATGCTGGATTAGGCAAGTGACTTTCTAGGCTTTCTAGTGGTTATGTGTATGTTTTTCCTTTTTATTTTCAAAACGGTACCCATTATTCAGAAATTAAATATCAATTTTCAAACATTTCAAATTTTTTGCATTTTCATTTAATATAGCAACAACAATGCATCTACTCCATTCCAATCATCATCCAGACTTTCATCTCGCTGTAATTCTGAGGACAGCATGGCTCAGACTGAGGTTAGTGTTGCTCATTCTGAGGACAGCTTGGCCCAGGCAGAGGACAGCATAATCCAGGCAGAGGACAGCATGGGCCAGACTGAGGACAGCATGAATCAGGATGAGAAAAACATGGCCCAGGTTGAAGACAGCATGAATCAGGCTAAGGATATGGTCCAGGGTGAAGACAGTACACCCCAAATTGAGGACACCATGGTTCAAGATGAGGACACTTCAGACAGGTAAAGTGAAAAACAGTTTCAGAGTTCACTTCTAGCTTAAGGCTTTGAAGGTTGGTTCCAAAATAATTTGATGAAGAGACCCTCTATCAGATCTTTGCTGAGCTTGCGCTGAAGCAATAGGATAAATTGATTCTATTGTCACCTGTAAAGCAGAGCGAAACTTAAGGTTCACTCTGCTCCATGTCTGTCTATATGTCTGTCTGACCTTATATCTCGAAAACTGTTAGAGGTAAAGGTTTTATATTTTGCTCATTTATTGCTTGGAACAATGACCTTTGTAAAATACCAGGATTACCATTATCATAACCTTTGACCTTGACCTACTTTTCAAATACACTGTTGTGCCAATATACTTATATTCTTTTACCATTGAGTGGTACCTCTCTGCTATTTAGCATGTACACTGCTTGTTTTACAAGAAATCTACTTGACTTGATCTCTGACCTTCTTTTCAAGAATACTTTGAGCTGCTTAACCTTTGTCTTGTCAGAGGCAGGGCTTCGATAAATAGCATATACATGAAAATTACATGTTTAAGACTTCATGAAACTATTCTTCTTAAATCTGTATAATATACATTAACCACACATAAATTGGGATAGGTATACAGACTTGCTAGTAGTTCAAACAAAAATGTGGGCTGTAGAGATGAACACTTTCAAATTACAAATTTGGGGATCATAAAAATGATGCTATAGCAATCGACCTTGAAACATTTTAGTTTTTCAAGGCATCAATCTGGGAAAAGAACATGGACCGAAGTCCCAAATTGACCTAAAATTATATTTTGTTTAACTTTGATGACAATTTTTATGCTACTAAGAGTAGAATGTTTTCTGAGTTGATGCTTTTTAAGAATTAAGGGAGTGGCTACTCAAATGTAGGTCACAGTGACCTACTTTTATAATTATGAGGCTTTTCATTGTCAATTTATGTATACATTCTTGAATGGAGAATAAATTACCAAAGCAACTCTGTTCATTGTGAAGTCACTGTATGCTCCAGTATTAAGCCTAGGACTATTAATTTTGTCAGTTGATGCATCTTTTGGCATCAGGTTTATATCATCAACTAATGTCTTATGAGTCATCTTCTGGCATTGTTGTGTGAAAACCAAAATGAATATGAATGTCACTGTAACAAGTTGAAACTACACAGTTATTCAAAACATGTTAGCTAAAAGCAATATCTTGCTCTGTGTGAGTCCAAACATAATCACATATTTTCAGTTACATGTGTAATGCTTAATTGGGTTCTTGATGTATTGCATCTTAAAAGTAGGTCACATTGAACTGTTTTTGAAGTGTTTTGCTCTTATGAGGTGAATTGGGTTAGGGGTAGACAGATGTCTTGGCCCAACAACACCTCGGTCTGTCACGCCCTGACAGGTCAGCCCAAGATTATCGACATGTCAGCCCATATTACAGACACCTCAAACCAAGCAAAAATTTTTACGTAGGAATATAAAGGAAAAAAATTTTCAAAGATCTTCTTCTCAAGAACAGTAAAGCCATGATTAGTCATATTAATATGGAAGCATCGTCAGGTAGTGTAGATTAAAGTTTGTTTAAATCATGACCTCTGGGGGGTAGGTGGGGCCACAATGGAGATCAAATTTTTACATAGAAATATATAAGGAAAAATCTTCAAAAATCTTCTTCACAAGATCAGCAGAGCCATGTTTAGTCATATTGATAGGTAGTGTAGATTCAAGTTTATTCAAATCATGACCCCCTGTGGTAGGGTGGGGCCAGATAGCACTATCAGAGTTTAACGTATGGATGTATAGGAAAAAATTGCCTAAATTTTTTCCATATAAAGATAGATAATAATTTGATGATTTCATCAAGATTTACTGATGGATATGTACAGGTTGTATTTATACTGTAAAAAAAACTATATGTTGTAGCAGTGAAAACAAATGCAGTAGAAAAGGAAATGTTAATGAAGTTCATGAGAAAATGGAAGTCAATGGAGACACAAAAGATCCTGTCGCTGAAGAGAGATCCGAGAGCAAAGAGGACAAAGATACGACAGAGAAGAATGAGGAAATTCCTCAAGAAAATGGGTAAGAGGCAAAATGCTCAATTACTTTTTATGTACTCTGAGGAGAAATATGGAAAAAGAGGATTTAGTGTTTACAAAATATGCGAAAATTTTCTTTTGTTATAATAGATGTTCTGCAAAAAATCTTTAAAAATTCTATTAGTGTACTTAGTATAAACATTTGTATGTAAACTTGAGAAATAGACAATAATGGTATATTCTTTCAGGGAAAATAAACCAGTCAAAGAGAGCACAGAGACTGAAAAGGAAGATGGAGAGGATGAGGCAAATGAAGAAGATGAAGATAAGGATGATACTAAGTCAGAATTCATGGAAGATATCAAGGAGGAGACAACTCTTGATGGTGAAGATATAAAGGAGATTCCCAGGAAACTACGAGCTAGAGCCACAGCAGACAGCACCAGTATGGTCAGGTACGGAAAGATATGTGGTCTATATATTGTTTTTAGTCTGCTATGGTCAGGTACGGAAAGATATGTGGTCAATATATTGTTTAGTGTTATGAACATAGTTTAGTGTTGTGAACATTATGAATTGTCATTATTTAGTCTGCTATGTTTGTAATTACCATATATAAAACCCATTACAACAGGATAAATCTAATGACTATTCCAGTAAAAATTATCTGAGGGGTGGAGTGGCAGATGGAACCTCAATAATTCTTAATCCTTCACACATAGAATAAGAACCCTACTGTTATGATGTTTCATTTTAGCTCACCTGAGCTGAAAGCTCAAGTGAGCTTTTCTGATCACCTGTTGTCCTTTGTCTGACCATCTGTAAACTTTTCATATTTTCAACTTCTTTTCAAGAACCACTGGGCCAAATTTAACCAAACTTGGTACAAACTATCCTTGGGTGAAGGGGAGTTTAAATTGTTAAAATGAACGACCAAGCCCACTTCCAAAGGGGACATAATCAAGAAAAGACAAAAATAGGGTGGGGTCATTAAAAATCTTCATCTCAAGAACAAGTGGGCCAGAAAAGATGAAACTTATGTGGAAGCTTCCTGAGGTAGTGTTGATTCTAAATTGTTCAAACCATGGACACATGGGCTAGGGTGGGGCCACAATAGAGAATCAAAGTTTGACATTGAAATATATAGGAAAAATCTTTAAAAATCTTCCTATCAAGAACAACTGGGCCAGAAAAGATGAAACTTATGTGGAAGCGTCTTGAGGTAGTGAAGATTCTAAATTGTTCACATCTTGGCTCCCCAGAGTAGGGTGGGGCCACAAAAGGGAATCAAAGTTTTACATTGAAATACATGTATATAGGAAAAATCTTTAAAAATCTTCAAGAACCACTGGGCCAGAAAAAATGAAACTTATGTGGAAGCCTCCTAAGGTAGTGTAGATTCTAAATTGTTCAAATGATGGCCCCCAGGGTAGGGTGGGGCCACAATAAGTATTACAAGGGGGAAAATCTGTCGAAACAGCAGGACCAAAGTTACTCAGGTGAGTGTAGTGGCCCATGGGCCTCTTTTTTTTTGTCAACACTATACCAATGGAAAATTGTAAAATGTATACTTGTGTAATTTTTCATTACTATTTGAATGGGAATTATTCATAGCATCTTCATTATTGTATTTAAAAAAAAAATTCTCATATTGTTGCATAACTCTAGTGGATATTTCTTGATTATATGATCAAGTGATTTCATAGTTAAGTGTAAGTATGATATAAACTGCCTAAATGTTACCACATGTTTTTTTCTGCCCCAAATTGAAGATCAGAAAAGGTGAGGGGTTTTTTTGTTTTTTTGTTTTTTTCTTGTCTGAAAATCTGTCATAAACTTTAACTTTCCTTAAAACTTTGGAACCAAAGAAGCTAGAAACTATATTTTTTGTCAAACTTACAGATATATGTCTATATATGAGAGCTTTAATATTTAGCAATCACCTTGTCCTTTGGTCTGTCCATCCGTCTTTCTATGCAGCTGTGTCTAGTCCAGAAATTTGTAATGGAGAAACATAACAAGCTTATACTCATATCTGACACAAAGATTTCGTATGACATTAGACTTACCAAATGTCATATGGATAAGTTCAAGGTTATTGGCAGAAAAAATGTAAATTTGTGTCTGGTCCATAACTTTCTAATGAAGAAACATTCAAAGTTCATATTTCACACAAAGGTTGCATATGACCTGAAGGTGTATCTCAACCTCGACCAAAGGTCATTTGGTCAAGTTCAATGTAAAATTCTTGTTCTGTCAACGTTTTGTAATGGAGAAACATTGAAGTTCATAGTTGACACAAAGTTTTCTTATGATCTCAGGGTGTGTCATGACCTGGACCCAAGGTTCTGTTAATTGTTAAAAATGGCCACTCTCGAGAGAATTTTTTGTTTATCAAACATATCTTGTTGTATATATCACTATATGTACATGTAATTTTATCATTTTTTTCTATGTATTGTATGGTTTTTTGGGGGGAGGGGGCTTTGTTTTGTTTTTTAACACATTTTTTTTTAATTTTAATGGCTTCTTTTGTTTAAGTCTCAATTTGATGAACACTGAACAGTCCCATTTTAGATGAAAATGTTTTTAAAAAAGTGCTCAAGACTGCTTTATTGAACAAATGTATTGTTAAACTTCAGTATCTCAAACATTGACATCGCAAATACATGGATATGTCACAGAGAATTGGAAGTCCCAATCACTTTTATTTATGTATTTTAACCTCAATATCTTGAATCCTTGGATATCTCCAGGTTTTTTTTCTTGGCCCCAATAAGTCCTTGATAATGAGGTCTGACTGTGTATTCACAGAACGCTACACTTCAGATATACGTATCAATATCTGAATAAATAATCAACAAATTGTCTGTCATATAAGGAACCATTTGAACCAAATTAGTCCTTTTATTTTCTAATTAGAAAATAACACATGTACAGAGATTTACTTATTCTAGGTCATGTGGATTTTAGTAAGAGCAGAGTACACTCATATTCTGACTGATTAAAACATCTTTTAATTTAAACCAATACTAAGTAAAGACACCCAATTTTTTACAGTGAGGGCACTGATAAAATGACTCCAAAGATGGAAGTCAATGAAAAAAAAGAACGCCAGCCATATCCAAAGAGACCACTGAATCCAAACGTTCGCTGGCACCTGATCTGTGTGGATATGGATGACTGGGAAGGGTTAGCAGAATCACTGAAGGATAGCAAGGTCAAATGTGAGCGTGACCTTTACAAATGTATTGTGGAGGACTTCTTACCAGCCATTCCTGACATCATTGAGGCCAGGGTGAGTCCATAATATATGATATATATATATACTGAAACGCAACAAGCAGTAATCTACAAATATTTGAATTTTTTATCTAATGATTTTCAAAAATGAATACAGTAAGGTAAAACTTGGTTTAAAAACATCAGAGATTTGATAAAAATGTTAAATGATTATCTTTTAACTTTAGAAAGTAATACATGAATTTTAAAACAACCCCACCCCGGCCATTCAATTACAGCGTGCAAGACTGCCATGTGCAACAGTTGCAGCTTCATTTCTACGATGCACTAGGTTCATCAATCTCGAGATATGAGCGAAAGAAATATTCTTTTCCATTTTTAAATGCTTGTTTTTCAGATGATCAGGTCGAATTTTTTCTAGACAAGCGCAGTGTAGTAACCCTTGGACTTCCTGTCCAAGGACTGTCATTTACGCTAGTGATATGTAAGAGCCTGTTGAGGCGTGATGTGGTGCATATTTGCATCTGCAACTCTCCGTCACCTTTATTTTGAGATTTTCCAGTTAGAGCAATAGAAATGTGCACTTAAGTCATTTTTAGGAAGCCTTGGCATCGCTTTCAGAAAAGAAAGGAGAATTTATTTTTTCAAAACATTGCTGCATTACTTATGATGAACAGATACAAATCCTTAAAACCCCATATTATTGCCAAATGTTTTGTTAAACATGCAATTTTTTATTTCTGTTAAGCGGGCTCAAACTTAACTTCCGGTAATGGTATGAAAATCATTCAACCGTTAAATTACCGATATTTACAAAGTTGAAGATGTCCTTACTTTTTAGATACAAAATTGTATCCTTTATATAATATTTCCCCATAAGATAGGATGTTGCGTTTCTTTTGCGTTTCAGTATACATATAACTATACTGCCAGCTTACACAGAATTTTTAGGGTTTTTTGAAAGTCTGTTTTTCAGCCTAAATGTTTTCTTGAAATAACCAAATAACGACAAAACATCATTCTATGAAGAGTGTCACAAGAATAGAAGATTCTGCCATTTGCTCTGTCAGAAAGCAATATATATGAACATTCAAGTCTAAGTATGAATGCACCTGAACCAAAGTTGTGCTCATTCTTTTAATAAATACCTTATGTGATGTGAGCCATAGTAAATTCAGACTTTGGATTTCTGTAGAATAAGTAGATTCAGAAATGTAAACAGCACTAGGGGCCATAACTTTTCTTCTTGTGAAAAAGTATTATTACCGTTTGGTAATTGAGTAATTTTCCTAGTATTTTTACTGCCAGTTCATTGAATTGTTACTTTAGATGATAAATTTGATGTGGGGAAAAAAAACCATCATAAAGTTGATAAGTAGTGCTGTTTACATAGTTGCTGAATTTGGATTAAAAACCAATAGATCCGGGTGTTGAAGAGTCAAAATCATTTACTGTATGTGTACATAAAATAGCGGGCTTTATATTTTGGGGGCTTTGGCGCAGACAATGATGTGCTAATTTATGAATACCGCTAAGAAATCATTTATTTATACAATACACGGCCCTGACATGTGTAGCGCTAATTCATGAATATGCCAACAATTCCATACCCAGTGATTGCTCTAAATTTTGAATAATCCAATTTATGTACACGTACAGTATTATAAGAGATACAGAGGAAATACAAAGAATGCTACGTGCATTGTTACATTTCATGCCTTGTACTCCATAGCATAACCTAACATATACATGGTAGATAGGAGTTCTCTCCCTTTCAATGCAGTACGTAGCTTAGTATCACTGCCTAAAAAAAGTGTTGGCAATATTAACATGCGTGTAAGATAATACAATCATGTATCTGCAGAAAAGAATTTAAGTCCTTTATGCATCAGCAAAAAATAAGATCAGATTGTAAAAAAAAAAATTGTTAATTTGATCCATATTCCATAAAAAATCTATGAATTGGATTCCTGGTTCATGCGGAGTGTTTATTCAGCAGAAACAATGAATGGGGGGAAGAGTGGCAATCTTTGATGTATTGTTTGAATGCATTTCCATTCCTGAAAAAATGCCTGCACAGCGTATCTCCTTGACATAATGAGTGGCAGGGAAAGCAGTTGGTTGCCAACTGCGGCAGTTGTTGAGACCCGCAGCAGAAACCTGCCAGTCGACTGTCTGTATCACAGCCTGATGAATGACAGAAAAGGGGTGTGTCATTTCCTCATTTCCTTGCCTTTAGAAAATTCCACCACTTTAAGATGTGCTTATGAACAATCTAATCATAAGTACTTCTCATCTTCCCTGTTGTACATAATTCTGCATTTAAAAAATTCTCTTTTATTAAGAGGAATAGAATCAACACCTGTTTTGTCTACATTCTTTTGATGTCTTTCCAATATTTGATGATGATTCAAACTTTCTATCTATTGAAATGTATACATACCCCTAGTATTCCAAAAAAATGCCCTGATATCTGCTTTGATTTTTGTCCTTCTTTTTTTTTTTTGGTGGCAAAATATTGAAAGGTTATTATGCTAAAATTTTATTTTTCTTCAATACTGACTTGCTTTTATAATTTTTCGTCTGAAAAATAATGAATTTTACATTTGTCAATGAAATGGTTACATATTCTAGGACATATCCATAGTCATTTGTACATTAGAGAGAAAAAAATCTCAGTGAGTTATTATTGGATTATGGAAAGTGTGCTTGCAATTTCAAAACTTCTTTCAAACTCAATTAAAAGGTGATGTTGATTTTGCATCATTTCTGGAGAATTTCAGGATTGTAATAATCAGGATTACTTAAATTAGCGCTGAGAATTTTTGTGACATTGTATGAAAGGTTTAGCACATGGTTTACGTATGAGGTGTAGAGTTATGCATTGGATCCTCCTACACTGTTACTGTGGGGGATTTGATCTCTTTTGATGATTTAACATGCCAGGTCTTCTGAGTCTAGCCTATCTGATTGATTTGATTGTTTGCCATGTAATGTTGTCTCTTTCCTTCCCATCAGGCTCTGTCTGTTGGAGCTGTGAAGTTTGAGAAGATTTTTCGTTAGTATGTTCAATTATATATGTCTGCCCTTCGAGTTTTTTTTTTTAATATTTCGGTGATTCTCATACTTCTTGTTTGGCAAGGGGGACATAGTGAAGATACATGTAGAAACAGATTCTGTTATGATAAAGGTGGTTGTAAATAATCCAAAACAAACAAACAAATGAATTCTGATATATGACTCATATGATCGTGTATTAGAAGTATCTAGGATCTTCTCTCTCATTGGACAGTTCTTCCATTATGTAGCCAAAAAATAAATGGAGAAAATATTATAGGTTATAGCTGCATAATTTGAGAAATGGATAAAATTCTGACACCATTTGTTTCTAAAAACCAGGGCCTTGATAAGTTGAAAGAAGTAAAAAGTAAAGTGAATGGAACATGAATTTTATTTTATCTATACATTTACGTATATACAACACTATGTACAATTTTTTTTATAAATATAATACTTTTTTCTCCAATACCCTGCACAATAAACCATAGGAGGGACAAAAAAAAATTAAAGATGCAAGAGGAGTATCATTAATTCATCACAGACAGATCCAGAAGAAAAAAAAACGGGAGAAATGAGCCATTTTTATGATGATATATGGAGCTTGATGAACAGTCACCTGTGTATGTAACACGGTTTTTTACCCCCCAACAGAATCCATTCACTGTCTGTAACTGCTGATCTCTATCAAGCAGACAGAGAACAACACATGTTATAACCTATTGCACATATTGCCGTCTTCTATTGTCTGTAACACAGGAAACGAAGTTGATGACCTGGAAGTGTCAGGGGAGATAATCAGTAGAGAAACGGTACCACAAGTACCTGCCAAACACATAGCACACTGAGTATCACATGACTGGCTGAGGATTTCTGTGACAAAGTTACCTCCCTTTGTTGATCCCTGTTTGAATTTATGAAATACTGGATTTTATTTTCAGGGTCACTATTCCCTATCACTATATACATCCAATGAAAAAGATTTTTTCCTCTCACTAGGTCCTGATAATCTCTGGAAATTGTTTTATGAGACACTTCACTGGAAATTTGTCCTGTAGTAATTTTGTCTTTGGAATTTAAAATAACAGGTACTCTCGAGTCCATATCTATTTTTGGCAAGACTATTCTATCCAAGAATGTGATAACACTAATACTTTCTTGGAATTTCCCTGTATGAGGGGATATTTTCCCCTCCCTTACTGGGAAATCATTCTGTATTTGGTAAAGTGGGGATCCTTCTGTTGAGACACTAGCTGTATTTTTGCCCTGTGTTTGGTCCACATTTGATACAATGTCTTTGGAGGAGTTTGTGTTTATTTTACACATTTGATTGACCATTGGAACCCAGGCCTGGTCCAGACTCTTTTGCACAGCACTGTAACTTGATTTTGTTGGACAGTTGGTCAGATATGTGTGAACGCACAACAACATCTTCTTGTATTTCCTAAGGTTGAAAAAAAAAATTGATAAAATTTAATGTAAATCTTTTCTGTTATCTTTAATTTAAAATTCTTCATCTCTTATGAATGCAGCAAATTGCATGAATAAAATATAGTTGCACAGAAACAGGAAGTACTTGAAGATAAAGATGATAGTGTAAAATAAATGAAAAAAATTCTACATCTAGAAAAGAATGTGATGAAGACATCAGTGGGTAGGAATGTTTAATGACGACATAGCGTGTGCCAAAATCGTAGCAAAGTATTAACAGCTCAATTTTTTCCCCTCGATATCAAAAGAACAAATAACTAAAATAGCTTTACAATAGTTTGCTTTTCTATTTCTAGTGCGCATTTCTTGTTTCATTTATGTGACCAATAATTTTGGAATTCAAAGGTTGTCAATTTCTTCATTTTAGTCTTCTCTATGAAAGAAGGAAATTAGCTGCTATTAGCTGGGAGTGATTGTTTTGAGTGGAGCTGAGGCAGGGATGTTATGAATGCATCTAATTACATGTGACTCAGTAAAGATTATGGTCAATATGATATCAGCAGCTATTCTTAAACTAATGATGGTGGAACTCTTTCTCTCTCATCAATAACGACTTCTGATCAAAATCAATCAGCTCCAAGTCCCAAGTTTTAATTTTCTTTAAAAGACAGGTTGATAAGTCACATTGATATATTAATCTAATAAATTAAAACAAAATGTTTTACCTTTTTTTTTTTTTTTTTGCTTTCATGCATATATATACAAATTGATTGAACACCATGATCCAAACTTGATAACTTTTAGCCAATGTAGAGAAAAAAATTGAAATAAAAAAATTCTTCAGGATCTATTCAAAATAATTTACATGAATGTCTCTTATTGCAATTACCATTTCTTTTATGTTCAGACCTGTGTTTCCTTGATATGTGATCATTTTCCCCGCAAAAAATTTGGAAAGTGAAAATATTTGAAGATCAGGTTTCTGTGTGATGTGGGAAGATTATCATGTTTAAAATCAACACATTTTTCAATTAAAATCTACCCATCAAAAATAATTGCAACTTAGGGCATGAAATTTTAATGATGTGTCATACTTAGGCAAAATTGAGTTCGATTCTTGAAAGATGCTAGCTTTTCTGCAGATAAGAGTTTTAATTTTGAATGCTTGTTATTCAAATAAGGGTTTGGAGGAGCTAAAGTGGTTTTTTAAGTGTCAGAGGCTGGTAAATTGATTTTCTATGTAACCTTTGTTTTCCTGAGATGCATTATGCAGCTGTTGTATTTTTTTTTTTAATATTATATTTTGAATATTTGATGAGAAGGACATGTTGTATTTAATTCCTCCCGAATGTGGCTCAGCACACTGTAATAATTATTCAGGGATAATGAAGATCCTACAATCTTAACCCGCACTCATTAACAGAAAGACATCAGTGTAATCAACCATGAACATTTACACACTTCATTGCACAGCTGCTAATGGTTTCAATTTTACAAGCTACAACCAAAAAAAAACAAAAAAACAAAAAGGAAAAAAAAAATTAGGAAACTAATGGATCATGCAGTAAATCTATTATTTTACACAGTTGAAAGACTTTGTAGAATGATGTTGGACATTTATCTGATCTTTCATTTTTTATCATATAAAGTTGAATTTTAAGGAAATAAACCTCTGGAAACAAAATAAGTAAAATTACCATTAAATAAAAAGCATAATACTTGCAAATTGATATTTATTAAATATTCAGGCATTGATCTTGATACCATTTTTAATTGTTGAAAAATTGTACCAAAAGATATGCATTAATTAATTTTCTGATTTCTTTTTATTTTATGTTATTTATTCTTTTATAAGTGTAGTAATTTCTAAATCTTGACTACCACTAATCTGCATTATTTCAAAGAAAGAGAAGATGGTATGTGACAAAGAAGGAAATTTGCCAGTTTCATTAAATTACAAAATATTTTTTCTTACCTGCAAGCATGCTTGACGAAAATTTGATAAACAAAAGGATTCTCTGGTTTGATGTGAGTGTATTGTTTGACTTTACGAGAAAATGGCTCAATGCAGTGCAGGATCTGAGAGGAGAAATCCTCTTCACAATTTGAAGGAATTTGTTGTGTCTTTTCCAACTTTCCAATGTCTTTGTAATCCATTGTTATTTTTTCCTCAATTTTTGAGGCCACACTCACCGTTAGAAATCCGTACAGCACAATAATCGGAGGTCCTTGCAGCTTCATAGCTAACACACTGTTTGTGAACTCGTACTTCAATAATAATTAATATAATCTTCAAATATACAGGAGCATTGTTAACTTATATTGTGTAATGTTTCCATTATTATTTTGTCTATAAGTTCCAATTTTTATGAATCGTCTTTTGTTTACAAACAATCAGTGTTGCCTTTTGATGTCTTCCTCCCTCCTCTGTGCATGCTCAATTCAGCTCTGAGAATTTTTTCCAGTAGCACAATTTGTTATATTTTTGTCAATGACTTGCATAAAAGATCATATTGAATGCAAAAATCTTCTGATCACAAGGGTTAGATGAGCTTGTGAAAAAGTTTGATAAATTGTGAACTTGTGGAGCTATGGTGCCCAATTGTTTGCCTCTTGCAGTCAATTTAACCTTGTGGAGTAAATTCCTAGGATTACAATAGTTTTGCTGGGGGGTGCTAACTCCGATTATGTCCACTGATTAATATCGACAGTTGCGATTGTTTGGTGGGGTGTTTAGGAGCTCGCTGAACTGTGACCACTGCCTCCTGATGATGTGTTTTGTCATTGGCCAGTTTCCTGTGTCGTTTACAACTGCTTAGAACTCCCACATCGCGGGGGCCAGTACGGACTTCTTACTGAAATATTAACAGTCATGTTACAAAAAATAGATATTGATTAGATTAATGATACAACAGTTTATCATAACCAATCATTAATAATAATCATAAATTTTATGAGATAATCTTAGATAATATACAAATTCAGAATGATTTACAAATACATGCTTACATTGCTTTATATATTCTACAGGCCCAGAACTTTAGGCACACTTAAATCAGTCCATACAATCTGTACCAGGTGCTTCAGGTATCTTGCTTAGGAGACTTTTATATGAATCCATTAAGTGACATTTATAAATCTTTGGGGAGTAAATGGCAATACACCTGACATATTTTACCTCTCTGAGTAAAAAAAATCCAGGTTAATTGGTGTCTTATTCATTATCACTACAGATAATTAATCTATCCAGTCCGGTTATTATTCACTTATGGTCAAGCGGTCATTGTTATTGTTTGATAATTATCTATTCACCCAATCATCACTTAATTGACCCTCTAGCCAATAAAAAGTCTTAATCTTGAGTGATCTAACAATTTTTTTTCTCCCTAGAAAATGTTATTTGAATGACATTGATAATTTCTATTACATAATTTCCTCATAAATTTAGGACAGGTGATTTATGCTTAATCATTTTATTAATTTTAGAAAAAGTGACCCCTCCAGAAACAAAAATTTACTTACTTGCGTCAATGCTGTTGGCTTTTAAGGTTGATATTCAGTATTGCAGTACAGGTAGACAGTGCTTGATCACTTTTCCATGTCTAGTAATGATTTTTGGAGATGGTTTGTATTTGTGCTAGATTAGTTGTCGTGACTTTCACAACTCGCCCACTATTACCAGCAGGGGTAGCTCGTTTCTTCCCGAGGTGTGAACACCAGTCCGAACTTTGTCACCATTGGGTATTGGTCTCCTTCACTCAGTCCACAGGGAACCTTACACAGTTTCTTATGGCTTGTGATCCTTTGGTCAGTGGAACTGACCACTATGACATAACAGTATTGTAGCAGATGAAGAATTAATCCCCAGTGGTTCACACTCAAAGAATGGTCCAAGCTACTGATTTCAATTAATTTCACAGGACAGATTTCCCACACATGAAGTATACAAGTTGACAGGCCTCTTTCTGAAATTTATAAGTGGAATTTTTAAGTCCGATTGAAATTCAATTAAAATTCATTTTACAATAAATCACAACAGGTCTTTGTTTTCTGACAGTGAAATAATACTGATAAGCTGTGAACCCCAGCAGACTTCCTGCTGTGGAGGCTGCTATCTGCTGCTGATAAGTACTTCTGCAATGATTGATAACAAACAGGTAACCATTATTACCCAGTGACCAGGGGCATGTGTCAGCTTCATTGATAGAAACTGGCCACTGTTTAATAGACCTCAGCCTCCGAAACCTTACCTCAGCTGTGAAAGTCTGATAAATGGTGTGATCAGACACGGCTTATGAAGAGATATAACAGAGATATAACCTGGGATACAAAAAAAAACGTTCACTGGAGCAGCTGGCAAAGCTGTACATGACAAATTTTACGTATTATCATAACAAGGCCTTATATCGTCAGCACTTTATTTAGAACTCTGTTTGCCTTCATTAAGGTGTTCTATTTATAAGATTGACTCTGTAAACATTGACTACAGACAGATATTGATACACTGAACCTTTTTTTTTCTGTGCCGCACTGAAAAATTACTTGATCTCATTCATCAATACTTTATCATTAGCGGTCAAGGTGTGAAACATTTGTCATGAATTTTTGTCTGATCATGAAGGCTGATTTTTATTAAAAACACATGTAGATTTAAAGTGATAGACACTGATCTAAGAAATATAGACAGACTATTCACAGTTAATCTCCTGATCAATACAAGATTGGACACAGCCAGAAGGCCAACAGGAACTAGCTTCCGTAGTTTTATTGGGCTGTAATGTTCCTCTATCTTTAATGTGTTGGTCTGTAAAGATCTGGGTATTGTTTCTTGGTAATGGCTTGTGACTTATGGTGTGAAACTTTTTGTTAAAGTTCAGGGGTATTGTCCATTTATTTCTTGGAGGGCAACTAATGGCTTCCATATTGGACTAAAGGTTAATTGACAGCAGGTTGGTCATACCTAATTGTGGAATAAAACTCTTAACAAAGTGGTTTGCTAAATACAAGACATAATTTAATGTATTAAAATGCAACCGCAGATAATATGCAATATCAATACAGGTCCCGTGTCTCTTTAACGTTAGTCAGGGCATCTGACAATTTGAAATTATTCTTTTCCTGTTTCACAAGAAAAATGATAAACCCACAGCATATTAACCTAACTTGATAAAGTATCCCTAGTGAAATACTTGTATACTTGTATACTAGTGTAAGAGGTATCATACAGTCAGTAGAAATGCCAAATTTCCAGAGAATTAATCAAAAAGATTAAGGTAATCTAGGGACTTCAATACTTATCAGATAGTAGAAGAAAGATGGATTGCTAAAATGCTAAGGTAGTTTGTAAGAGAATAGAAAAAGTATTTATTGCCACAAAGATCTTGGCAATGTGAAAATATTCATGGCCTTGATACCCTAGGAATGTTGTTAAAGGAATGAACAGTGTCTATTATAGGTATCATAGAAAAGTAAGACGTCAGGTTTCTTAGTCTGTTGTGTTTGGAAGGTTTATCGGAGAAAGGAAAAAGTTATCTGAAGGTATAGAATGTGTTAGGGCTGCTCCAGAAAATCTTTTGGATGGAAGCAATATAGCTGTATCAAGTTGGCAAAGTGAAGACAAGCTCTCTTGTTGAAGCTACAGGAAACAGAAAAAGAAGTACCTTATGCAAGCTGGCAGAACTTAGCTTCTGGCAGGGCTACATGATGCTGTGGCCTTTTGTCAGTAATTAACAGTGTCACTTGGTTATGAAAGATAAACATGACAGGGGAGGCCTTGTGTTGTGTTACAATGTGTGATTCTGCTGATGTTATCAATGAGATGTTTGTTTTATTGTCTGGTAATTATTGCTAATTGCTGCTACCCTCTCTAACTCCATATCTCCCCCTTGAGGAGAGGTTTGGTGTTAGGATTTAATCACAACTCCTGATCTAGTACTTGGAATAATTTTCATGTCATTAGTTACACACGGGTCACATTACTGCAGGCAGTGAGGAGAAAGGCTGGCATTATCCTTCACACTTCTGTGAACAGATGAATGAAGTTTCCTACTTAGAGTAATGTACATTCCTGTTGTTTGGTAATGGAAACAATGATGGTGATCTTAGTGGAATGAAACATCAAAGATCTATATGTAGAACTGTGTGGGAATGCAATAAATGATATACTCTTATACATAGTGTAAAAATGGCTTCTGCTCTCATAACAAGTAAATTGAATTGAAAGCAGCCATTTACGTATGTGTTGCAACAGTGAAGTCTTAAGAATTGTATATGATTATATGAGGGGCAATACCAAATTTCCACAAGTTACATTGCAAGGTTTTAAAAAATACTATTTCATCAAATAAACCAAATCAATGTCTTGCCAAAGTAAATCCATTCATAACCAGCACTTGCCATGAAAAAAAAAACAAAACAAAAACAAAAGTGTTATCGATAGCATATAAAGTTATACTCAGTTAATAATGCACACTGGACATTTTCTTGTACAATATGGGGTCAACTATTTCTAATTGTACAATATGGGGTCCACTATTTTTAATTATTCATTCAGATAGCATTTTTAAGTAATGATGTTGACATTGTTGAAGATGACATATTGTGAAGACAACAAAGAAACCAAAAATGAAAATGTAGATATTAAATATTACAGATGACATTACTCACAATGTCCAGTTCTGTAATGTTAATGGAAAGTCCTATTGTAAATACATGTATATGGAAAAGAAGATTAGTTTGAAGAATAACATTTCTTGTCAAGATTTCTGTTGTTTTCTTTTATATTGCTAAACAGCAGAACTAAGCTTGTACCTCATATAAAGGGCTTACAAAGTCTTCAATTTCTACAAATTGTAACCACAAAACAGATGGATTTATGGTGTGTATAATACACTTATTTGTCTTCATAAGCATGTGGAGAAAACAGTTATAATAAAGCACTGGGAAATAAGAAATGGGAAAATAGGAGAAAGATGATCGTTTGAATGGATTATTAACATTTATCTCTGTGTCTGAAAAGATTGAATACCAGAATGGAATGCTGCGTGGCCTGCTGCTGAACTGGGGGTGCTTGTAGAAATGTAAATTAAAGTGGTCTCAAATAGATTAAAAAGATTGTTGCCCTTAAACAAGAAGAAAACATGTATTTACTGGGGGATAGTTGCCTCCTCTGTTTAAGGGGGGTGGTCCATCCGGATTTACAATGATCATTGTGAATTACAGTTATATTCAGATTGGGATACAGAAGAGTTCCCCTGTGTTTTGTTCCCCCATCCATTCAATTTTCATTCTGGAATGTTTGTCTGACAAAGCCTTAAGCAGCATTAATCATAGGATGTCAGAGAGAGAAGTATGGACAAAGGGTCACAGAGGAGAAACCTACCCTGAATTGGTCCACTGTTACCAAGGAATTTCTGGCATTGTCCAGGATTCTGTGTGGCTAACGGCAACGTCTTTCATACATCTGTTCAATTTTTTTATCACCTGAGAGGTGTACAAAAGATATTTCATACATGGCCAGATTTTATCTGCTGAAAATTGTGAAAAAAATACACTAGTGACTGTTTAGCAATGAAGCAATTAATCTGTGTATCTAATTCTAATGGGGTGACCAGACTCTTCATGGGCAGTAGTTAGCTAGTTAGCCACTGGTCAATAGAAATTAGGGATGAGAAGTGGACTCAAGCTGTTTTTAAGGTGATTCGTTCCTATTAGCTTTCATTAATAGTGACTCTTTAGTGTCAATCAGATCAAAATTCCTGAGAAAAGTTTGTCCACTGTTGACATTTTGACCAAGCAGCAAGACAAATTAGAAAAAAAAAATGTGTTAGTATGATTCCTGAGAAAAATATACCATCAAAGTTTTGTAAGTGGTTTATATTGATATCACATATAACCTTGTGGGACCATAGGTCTTTTGACAGTTATCTACTGTAAGCTTGGCAGAGGACATTCTAAATGCCAATTGGTCTGTTGTGTCTGCAAATAAAATGAAAACTTGCCGACATAGAAGATAAACTCATCTTCCCATTTCTAGTTTAACAAAGTTTATTGCTAAAATTTTGTGTAAACAATGAAACCATAATGAATCATCCACTCTCTTAGGAAATGAGTACCATAATATGAAAGCTAGTTTTAAAAGAGGATATTAAATTATATATGAAATATGATGTGCATATAGATTGGCTGCAGTAGCCCTGATGAGGCTTTTTTGTTTGTGTGTGGGAGAGAGAAATATTGACACTCCCATTTAATCTGTCATGGTGTGATGTTAAAGGAAAGAGGATGCTAGTTTGAGTATCCAGAGAAAATAGCAAAGTATTGGCTAAATATTGACAGAGAGTGGAAAATGTTTAAATACCCTGTGCATTAGGTGGATATTGTAAGCAGGCCCCCGGTCCATTGATTCTGGGGGACTAATTTACAGTGATATTAAATCTGAGAAAACAATGTGTATTTATTATCTATTGAAACAAAATGTCAGGGGGGGTTTGAGGGGTTTTCTAATAATCAGGGAATGGGGGAAGAATACCTCATTAGCAGGACTCGAGTTTCAGTGGCATCCCATGTCTGCATGCATATTGAACCACTTATAATCAAACAAAATGAATTATTCAGTAGATCTGGCAGGACAATGGAACATCAAACTTTTGATCTTCATGTATAATCCATTATTAAGGCCAGTGGTCCAGTCATTAATGTCCAGTATATGGGGGGATAGGAACAATAATACCCGCCCCCCAGGGGAAGGCTGTTGTAATGACCCTATCTAGGTATAATAGATCACAGGGCACACATGGGTTTGTTAGGCAGTTTACTAATGTCATAATTATCTCTAGAAATCAAATACATAAAATGGGAAATTTGAGAGTGCCACAGTTCATACTTGAAGATTTGTTTTGATTCCATTATCATTGCAGGGGTAATTCTATCTGATACTTATACGTATGATTTCAAATATTTTAATTAAATTAGAATATCTTATTGATATGTAAACTTCAAATTTAAAGATTTTCACATTTTAAAATTTTGCAATTTAAATGAAATCAATCAGATTTATTTATATCTAGACACATTTTTAAAATCTTGCAATGATGAAGTCTATGACATTTTTATCCACCGTAGCACTAAAAGTAATTGTATTTTGTATCCAATTATAATGCACAATTCAAGAAGGAAATCGATAAATAGGAATCTTTTGTCACATTGTTGTAATAGATAAATCGGGATCTTATGTTATCGGGAGAACATTGCATCAGTGACAGAAATAAAAACCTATTGCTAGCGACTTATTGATGTGTAGTCTGAAACACCTGCCTTCAGGTATGTATTAATAACTGGTTCATCCTTGATCACGCTCAGATGAAGTTCAGCCGTCATAATTAAGGGAAAAAACGCACAGATCTTGGATAACATATCAAGTTAACGCCATCATGTGGCACTTCCCTGCAAAAGAAAGCACACGACAGCTGTCAGTAACCAAGCATTAAAAGAAAAAAATCTGGTGTAACAACTTTATAAAAACCAGTACTTTGTCATAGTTTTTCTAGCAAAGTTCACATAGCGGTTCTGTTGATTTTTATTTTTTCGGTTGCTGGATGCAATGAATTTAAACTTGCGTATTTTGCTGTGTCAATAAGACCCAAAGTCTTTTCTATTTACAGCTGAATCAATTGCTTCCTTTCTTGGCCTTTTCTAATCTAATAAAGGAAAAAAACCTGAAATAGTTTTCTTTTTTTTAATACCGTCTCAATAATGTGTGTTATTCTGTTTGTTTACAAACGGATTAAAAAGGAAAGTACTGGTGCTTTGCCATATGTTGTTTGGGGTCTCAACACTCCTAAAGCTTGTTCATGGACCCAGTTATTTCTAGCAGGAGAATTTTTATCAATGAATGGCGTGGGAGATTCTATTTTAATTTTATCTATAATATGTGACGATTTTCTATCATTATCATTACACCTGAAGTGTTCATATCCTATCCTCTTTTGTCAGTAATGTGAAACATTTACTCTCTGATAGCACTTTTGTTGTCTATTGGTATTAATCAAATATGATAAATGTCAAAAATTTTAAACCAGACCAAATTAAATATTGGATGTATTTCGAGACTTTTTTTTAGGAAAAATATTGAATAACGAGAAAGAACATTATTATTATTTTCCTTTGAAAGTCTCATACATACACACATAAAATAAAAAATCAATTTCGGAGTTTAAATTTAGAACTATGACTCTTTGGTCTCCGGAGACTGTGAGTCATTTGACTAAATAAGTATATCAGAAAGTATATCTATTTAATTTAATTTTCACTGCACATTTTAAAATGGCTGCCAACAAATTGCACTCAAGGTTTGTCGTTTAGTCATGGATGTTTTGGGGCAACGTGGTGTCTATTCTTGGTTGTTTGGTCAATAGGAGATCCCAGGATCCCTGATTAAGGCATGGTGATGAGCTATGTCAAAATTACGATGATTATTGTAATAAAGAAAACGGATAAAAATAAGTCCATTGATGTTTAACAGATTTCAGCCTCTGAAAATGAGTGAAATATTGAGACCTTAGATCTGTACGAGTTTGATAATGAATTCAATGTGGCCTCATTGAGAATTAATCAGACATTTTATGTTGTAGTGGCATATGCTCTCTAAGCCTTTATTAGCCCGACTGGTTCCACTGTGGGCACCAAGGGCCATTGGGTCATAGCTTTTGCTCTTGCTTGTTGGCCACATTATAGTGATGTTTATTGATATCAGTTTATTGAAACTTTTTCTCCTGGTCGTTTGATATGATTAGCAGAGGAAATAGATTTGCCAATTACTGATAGAATTGTGGTCCTGCAAGAGTTCACAGAGATTCTGTGTAGATTACATACAATTATAGCAGCGGGATGGAAGTCCACGTGGAGATAATTCCCGGACTATTCAATGGCCTAGGTGCGAGACAGAGTTTAATCTGTTGATAAATGGACTCTGTTCCCCCAGCACTCATACCTACTTCAATGTCTGGTTTTGAATCATTAAATGAAGTCATTACCAATACCTATCTCTTGCCATAGGTAAAAATAAATATAGTGTATATACTTAGAGACAGACACATTTCAGATTTGAAGCCACGGGGACCAAATTACTTCTCTGTACTAATACTATCAACCACGTGACCTGATCAGTAAATTTTTGCCGATTCAACAAGTTTTTTTTTAAGCATGAACAGGAAATAAGCAGATTGGAGACATCTGTAAATTACACAGTCACTGCTAACAAATATTAATAATTCATTGATTATTTCAATAGTTTAGCGATATTTAACAGAAAGTAAATTTCCTCCCTCATTTCACTGATGCTTTGAAGTTTTGAAATTTAGAATAAAAAGGGATACGCATGATGAAATTGACATCAAGATCATTTACCATTACAGGGCTCTCAATTGTCGTTAGATGCACAGGGCCACTGAATGGCCCTGTTCCTAATTCATAATGAGTAACTTTATTCACAAGTGAATGGTTTTATTTTCCCAATTGTCATAAGAAATGATGATGATGATAACAAAAAAAACATGAAACTTTAGTTTGATGATTTTTTATATATGTTGATTTTCTCACTTTTACCTCTGAACATTGCCAATTTTCATAATTGAATGGCCTGGCCCCAGTACCAAAAAGTAGTTTGAGAACATTGCCATTAGAGTTCAAATTACTATGATGATGTGGAAATATTAGCTTGAAATAAAGAAATTTCAAACATATTTTGATCCTTCAACATCATTTTATGAAGACAGTTTTTTTCCCTTGTTTATTTAAAGGGAAAGCAAAATAATATGATTACGCCTCTATCCAAGCAAAATTCAAAATAAACAAAAATGATTCAATGATCACTGTATTTTCTTTATTATATCATTATACAAAATACACTGTATTCCCTTTTTTTTGCAGCATAAAGAGAAACTCCGACGAGAACAAGAGAATATGCCTCGACGAATGTCTTATAGAATTGAGCTCAAGCGACGTGAGCAAATGGAACAGGTAAAAATGAAGAAAAAAATGTAATCATTGCAATTTCTGAGTATGCCATATATGAGTACTGATGTGTTTCTTCTGCACATGTTTTGTGTTCTTAATTAGCTTTGGTGTACAAGCAATTAACTTCTGGTACATGTGGATTTTATCAATTTCATTAATGAAAAAAATTTTTTACACATATTCAGCTTTGAAGTATTGGGCATTAAGGGGTATTTTAACCATATAGTTCTGTATAATGGGTATTTTCTATAGGTGGAAATTTTTGCCATTTGACCACTCAAAGGTAGCATATTGATTTCTGCATGTTTAATTTCTGTGGTTGCATTATACTGCAAAAATTTATCTACAGGAAATAACTTGCAAATGTTGAGGATTTTGGAGGAACACTTCTATTTTTTATTTTTTCATATTTTTAGATTCAATGACATGTTTAAATGTATCTTCTTTACAGTGCATTAGAATTGAATCTCACTTAGTGTTTTCAAATCACTTTTATTCCATACTTCAGTAAGTTTAATGTTCTATATATAGTAAGCAGTTATGAAAAAACATAACTTCTGTACAACTTATTACTGTAAAATTTTGTGTGGCCAATTTTTCATGGTTTGGAGAAAAAAAATTTGGTTCAAGGGGATTTGATCTCGTGGTTGAAGAAGAAACATCATAGTGTAGTATTGAATTTAAACGTTTCATGGGGAACATGAAATTGCAGGTCTCTCCATGCAACAAAAACAAGAAAAACTGAACCCTTTAAAAATTTGTGATTTCACAGTATGTTTGGAATAAACATTGAATATTCTGCGATTGTACATTTCATGGATCTTCCACTGCAAAATTCTGCAAAAAATGGACATTGCAGAAAATACCCATTATATGGTAATTGATAAATAAGATAACTAATTATAAGTATGACAACTAAATCACACTTTACTACATTAAATGTGAACAATGTGTTTCAGGAGAAGATTTTGGCTGAGGCCAAAGCTGAAGAGGATAGACAGAGGCAAGCTGAGGAAGAGGAAAAGAGGAAGAAACTTGAGGCAGAGAGAGAAGAGGAGGAAAAGAAAGCTCGAGAGGAAAGACAAAGGGCAAGAGAGGGTAAGGAGGAATTGAGGAGGGAAAGCAAATCAGAGACAGTAATGGGGGTAAGGGGAAAAGCATAATGGTGAATTGGAGGGGGTAGGAGTTTAAACAAAGAATGACAGAGCTCATAGAAGAAAGAGAAGAGAGGGTAAGGAAGAATTGAGGAGGGAAAGCAATTATATGAGAAGGTCAGAGACAGTAATTGGGTAAGGGGGGGGGGGGGATAAGGGAGAATTGTAGGGGGTAGAAAGAGTTTCAAAAAAGAATGACAGAGGGCATAGAAGAAAGACAAAGGACAAGAGAGGGTAGGGAAGAATTGAGGAGGGAAGGCAATTATATGAGAAGGTCAGAGAGAGTAGGGGAGAATAATTAGGAAAGAAGGAAAGAGCATAAGGGAGAATGGTAGGGGGTGGGAGGAGTTAAAACAAGAATGATGGGGGGGGGGGGGGGCAGGGGGAATAGGACCAGGGAAGATGGGCAGATGGAAAGGAGGAAGGTGAACAAGATAAGGTAAGAAGGAATAGAGTAATATGAAGAAAATAGTACAGAGGAGGAAGGGGGAAGAAGGGAGATTGAAGGGGGGAGTGAGTGGACAAATTAAGGAAGAAAGAATATGAAGAAGATGGTATAGAGGAATAAAGGGGGAAAGGAAAGGTTGACAGAGGGGAAGGAGGAGAAGGGTTGAGAAGGAAATAAAAGGTATGGAGGAATATTAAGTTTTAAAAAAAGACAGTATATCAGGGAGGAAATAATCCAAGGATGTAAATGTCATTCTTCGTTGAAACTGACTTAAATTATGCAGGCTATCTTCTTCGTATTACAGAAAGGGCCAAGAGATTAGAGTTGAGGGAACAAAGAGCTGCCCTCCTGGCTGAGGGGAAAGAAATCCCCCCAGAGCTGATGTATGTTGCCAATACTGGTCACAGCAAATATGTGGATGATCATGACAGGTTTGTACAATAAGATTTATATACAGTATCTGAAAAGACAGTTCAATATGGAGAATATCTTCTAAAAATCAACTCTTGCCTATTTTATTCAAATTCCACTATTTTACCACTAAATAGCTGGTATGTGTTGATGGAGGAAGAAATGGGAGGGGGATTTTAACCCTGGCTGAGAGTTGAAATTTATGCATTTGGGTGATATACTGTGTGTGTACTTAAAATAGCGGGCTTCATATTTTAGCAACTTTGGCGTGGACACCAATAGACTAATTCATGAATACCACAAAGAAATCCTTTTTAAATACAATACATGGCACAGACATGTGTAGGGCTAATTCATGATTATGCCAACAACTCCATACCCAGTGATTGCGCTAAATTTTGAATATGCCAATTTATTTGCACGTACATTAAGCTAAATAGCTTAAATGAGAAAGATCCCCTGCATTCCAATGCCTTTATACCTGTTTTATTCAATTTTAACAATAAATATTCCTGGTATCACAGAAATAACCCCTACGTATAATATTTTTGCCACTTATTTGCATATTTAACAACAGGCATAAATATTAATGTTTACAGTAACCTATCATGAAGTGAACATTAATTTATTTTATCTTTTATTTATGTATGTAATGTTGACGAACTTTTAAACCAACAGTAGAGAATATTTGGATGCTCCGACAAATTCTGTTTTCTTGTTTTACAGTTACACTAACAGAGTAGAACTAGATGAAGAAGTTGTGGAGGAGATGAATAAAGGTATGGGTAAAGTTCAGTTCTGCCATGTCAGAATGCAAGTACTGAAAAGTTATCAAGATATTGCAAATGGAAGGCCAGTAGAGTTATTTCCCTTGCACTGTTAAATCTGTCATTAACATGGTGTATCTTTTCCTTTGTTATGGAATAATTGTGTTTTTGCATCTGACAGTGTTGGAAATGGTGAAAGCCCACAAAGATGCCTGGCCATTTGAGGAACCTGTCACAGAGGAAGATGCACCTGGCTACCATGACATCATTAAGGTAAGACTGTAACATCATCAAGGTAACGCATACATTCCAACACTAAAAGACTGTGCTGCATTGGAATTGAACAGGAATTCAATTTATGACTGCCATGATCATGTAGAATTATAGGGATGTACAGTCAAACCTCCTTTTTTATCTTGAATTGGATGGAGCCAAGAAAAACTTCAAGATGTCAAAGAATTTGAGACATTGAAGTTAAAATTCATATGGAAAAAGTGAAGTGGGGACTTCATTCCAACTCACTTTGACATATCCATGGTTTTTCAGATAACTGTGTATGAGATACCGAAGTTTAACTGTAAAAACCATATAAACTTGTAAAAGTACATATGTACTTCTTTGGGTCAGAGTAATCCCTATGCTGATATTTATAACACAGATTGACTTTAACTTTCTGTTGACAGAGACCTATGGATTTATCCACCATTGAGAAGAAGCTGACTAATAGAGTATACAGAAGCAAGAACAGATTTGTCCAGGACTTGAACTTAATGCTGGACAATTGTCGACAGTTCAATGGGGAAAATAGTGGTGAGTATTTCTGTATGAAAGTTCAAAATTTTGTTGAGGAGTTAATGATTGTGAGTTAAGCCTCAACTTCGTATCATTGATACCACACGATCCATCAAGAGACACAAATCATATTTTTAAACAAATAAGGATTAAGTTTGGAATTTGTTAATTTCAAATCACTAAAATTGGACAATGCAAGTTTCGATCATTAAATTACTAAGGTATAACCATTAATGTAAAATATTAATTCTTCATCTTGTAAAGTTTACAAAGCAGGATGAGACATATTTGAGCAAATACCTTAATCCTTGGATTATGGTTTTAAATGTTGATATTTACAATAAAATTAAACATTATAAATGATTTATAAATATTTCTGTATAATTGTGTAAATTGTATAATTTTGTAAAAATTGTTTAATTTTCATGACCCAGCCCTGCAAACAAAGTTTAATGGGGAGGGGGTATATTGGAATCAGCATGTCTATCTGTCTGTAGACATGACATGTTTTTGGGTACTGTAACGTACTGCATAATTTGTACATTGATTCACCATATAAAGATGTGCACCTGGTATTTTCATCATGACTGGATAATATTTTCTATAGTTAACAGGTGTACTTACTAGATTCGATTTTGAGAAATGAAACGTTATAAATTGCATTTTGGAGTTTGGTTTGAACATATTTTATTGTCTTGAAATACTAAAAATGGGATAGGGCACAAGTTCTAAACACTCCCTTTCCGTACATGTGAAATATATCAAACAATTAGGAGTACCCTTGTGTATTTCAGAGCTTGGGGAGATGGCAGCAAGGCTACAGAGATTTGTCAATAGAATTGTGAAGCAGCACTTGGAGAAACATGTAGGTGCCTATGAGAATGACGAAGATTTCCGGATCAGTCGATGCGAGGGCAGCGTGGAGAAAAGGTACCGCCCCAAACGTGGAGCCAGTTCCAGAGCTCGAGACACACTCCGACGGGCAATGGACGATGAAGAATTTGATGTACTTATTATTTTTTTAAAAACAAAAATTTCATGTGAAAATTTTACTCAGATGTATTATAATTACTGTAATCAATACCTGGGGTGTTTATTTTTCTTACCCCTTTCATTTATCAGAATTTTTTTTGTTACAACATTAAATTACGTCAGAATGAATACTTGTTTGCCGAATGTAAGAAAACTTTAACTTCTTTATTCATTGTGCCTCATATTCTTACTATTTTGATGAAAAAAAAGTTTTTGGACTCCAAATTATTGTACTCTGATCAGTTGTGAAACATGTGACTTTTCATTTTAGCATCTCACTATGGATGATGATGACTCCAGAAGTAGTAGTCCTAAGCCTGTCAGAGTCAATAAAAACCGACTCATCCCAGAGTTGTCTTCAACTGTTAACCTTAGAGAATTGATCAAAAGGCCTCTGATAATCAATCCCAACTCAAACAGCAAATTAGAATGGGACCCAGAGAAAAAGGTTGTTCGATTAAATGGGCAGAGTCCTTTAAATCCACAGTTTGTGTCCCGTGGGGAGAATCCACAGTTTGTAGCAAAAGAGGAATCCAAGAAGTTCTCCCCATACCAGGTGAAATCAGGAACAAAGAACAACTGTTTTATCATGGACCAGTCTGGAAATCTTCAACACTCTATTGTACACAATGGGAAAACCTTCATCTTTCAACAGAAGCCTACTAAAGTATCGACTAAAACTGTCACGCCTGTCCCACAGAGAAGTCTCTTGTCAGCCGTGTCTACAGCCCAGAAAACACCAGAAAAGTCACCAGGTAAGTAGCACCTGTCTGTGGCCCAGAAAACACCAGAAAAGTCACCAGGTAAGTAGCACCTGTCTACGGCCTAGAAAACACCAGAAAAGTCACCAGGTAATTAGCACCTGTCTATGGCCTAGAAAACACCAGAAAAGTCACCAGGTAAGTAGCACCTGTCTACGGCCTAGAAAACACCAGAAAAGTCACCAGGTAAGTAGCACCTGTCTATGGCCTAGAAAACACCAGAAAAGTCACCAGGTAAGTAGCACCTGTCTACGGCCTAGAAAACACCAGAAAAGTCACAAGGTAAGTAGCACCTGTCTGTGGCTCAGAAAAAAACAGAAAAGTCACCAGGTAAGTTGCACCTGTCTACGGTCCAGAAAAAAACAGAAAAGTCACCTGTCTACGGCCCAGAAGACAACAGAAAAGTCTCCCGTAAGTTGAATCTGTCTACAGCAATAAAAAACACCAAAAAAAGTCTTCAGGTAAGTAGCACCTGTCTACGGCCCAGAAAACACCAGAAAAGTCACCAAGTAAGTAGCACTTGTCTACGGCCCAGAAAGTCACCAGGTAAAGGGCACCTGTCTACAGCCCAGAAAGTCACCAGGTAAGGGGCACCTGTCTACAGCCCAGAAAGTCACCAGGTAAGGGGCACCTGTCTCACATTTTAAAAAGTATTGTAGTGAAGTTTTTATGGCTTAGAGGGGGGTACTGCTAGTAAAGATTTTAATGTGATATGACGAGAAAATGTCATTAGTATTTTAATGTGGTAAACAGGAATTAATTGACATTTAATATTTTTACCAAAATGTGTATGAAACATGTTTTTTAAGCATTGAAGTTACATAAGTTTGTACAGATACTTTTTATAAATTCATATACACTGTATATGTATGGGTTAAGGTAAATGTTTTAGATATAATAGCTGACCGAAGAGTGTCTCTCTCTCAAAAAAAAATAATCTGAAGTATTAGGATTGTAAGTTCCCAGAACATAGCAACATTACAGTATTTATGATCTTGCAAAAATAAAACTGAGAATCGTGTTTATATTGCAATGTATGATACTAAAAATGTTCTAGATATCTACCATGATATTTATGTACTATAAATGTTTTGTAGGTCAGTCTGAAATCCTGGCAGGTCATGGACAGAGTGGAGGCACCATGAAGGTCAATCTACCCATCACCCAATCAGCCTTGACCCCAGGGAACCAGTTTGTGGTGCAGACCCCACAGGGACCTAAAACCATACGTATTGTCTCCACCACTAACCAAGCACAGACCACCTCCACCATTCTGCCTACAGTGGTGACCAAGCCTCAGGCAACCACAACGACATCAGGGGAGGGCATCAAAGTGTCCGGGGGAATGCTTGTCCTTGATGGACAGGTCACAGGAATTCCTGTGTCAGGAAAAACCAAGATAATTTATAAAGGTTAGTAATACCATACAGGAATGTTAAACATGCATGTACTTCTCTCTAGCTGTATGTGGAAAACAGTATAAGGATAAATCATTTACTGATTAACTTCAAAACATTTTATACATATGTACTTTTAAGTAATATTAATAGTCAATTATGATCTATTGGAAAGGAATACATGTACTAGATGCATGTAGATCTTGTTCATGAACTGACTGAGGTAATCATTATTTGTGCTATTAGTGTTTATTCATTAGCACACCACCAAGTGTATTTGAATCAACAAAATGCTATATGAGTCATAAAATAGGCACATGTACAGTCTGCTATGAGAATCAAGTGCAATAGAATATATGTATGTGATATCTGTAAAGAAAACTTTTTATAGGATGAGTTTTACAATCTTTATTTGATTTATTTTATTTTTAGCTCCAGCTGGTGTGGGTTCTCCTGGAGTATCCTCAGGGAAAACTATTGTTAAACTGGTCACCACTCCAGATGGCAATAAGATTTTACAGAATGTAGGACAACCTGCCATTATCAAAGCCATGGCAACACAGCCTTTAAGGCCAGCCACCCAATCACAGCCAGCCATCATACAGGCTCCACCCACAAATCAAGCCATCATCCAGTCCCCATCCATCAGAACCACTTCCCCCGTGGCTCAGCCAAACCCTCGGGGGCGTCTCCTACCAGAGCTTTCAGCAGAGTCAGGCTTCAGTGGCTTTGTTCCAAGCAGGCTTGAGGGAGTGGATAAACCCTCAACAGAAACTCCTCAGAGTTCTGTGGCTGCCACCCTGGTTAAGAATCTGGGTGCCACACCCATACATAGCCAAGCCCAGAATGTGATTCTCAGTATGTTGCCAGGCAGTGACTTACTTTTGCCTACCCCTGTACAGAATATTAATAAATACATTGATGATGAAGTGTATGCAAATGTAAGTGGGGATCAGAATAAACAAAATTTGTCCAACAGAGACTCTGTAACAAATGATCAAAGTGTGATTAATCAGGCGATCATAAGTACGGCCAGTGTTAGTGTACCACAGAAACGGAAATTAGAGAGCTCCGACAGTGAGATACCACCCAAACTCTGGCAGGGAAGTGACACAGTAATAGACAACCAGAACATTTCTAATGTGAATGAGGCATCCACCATTTCCAGTATACCAATAGGGATGTCCACTGAATCTGTGGTTTCCAATGTCCCTGTAGATTCGTCGGTGCAGCTTGCATCAAATACACCAATTGTTTCCAGTTTCCCATCAGTGTCCAGTGTTCGCATAGGATCTAGTGTACATTTAGTTTCCACTACTCCAATTGTCTCAAGTGTGGGAGGCAACATACAACTCTTATCCTCTTTGCCAGTAGTTTCCAACATACCTGCCAGTTCAGACATTCAGATTGTGCCACTAGTAACCAGTGGTGTAAACATGACAGCACAAAACAGGCCAGTAGTTGAGTCTCCAAGTAGGAAAGGCAATTTGTTTGACAATTTAGAGACTCTTGTGCCAGACACTAAACCTGCCACAGTGAAAAATGGCATTTCTGATCAGGAACCTCCAAGTCAAAGTTCATCTCCACCCAAGGCTTCACCTCCTGTCTTTAAATTATCCCCAGAGGTGATGAACAAAGTCTCAATGTTTGCTGCAAATCTCCACTCCAATTCCCTGGCCAGCAAACTACAGGGGCTGACAAAATCACCAACTAGATCAGCTCCAGTTCAGGTAATCTGATTCTTTAGCATGCAATACACAGCTTACATTTCATGATTTATGAAGTACTATGTGAATTGGTAGATGAATTTCATAGATTTTCTGCTATTGCTTTCAAGCTTTTAGAAATGATCGTCAAATTTTATTGCATGAGAATATATTCTGTGCTTATATAGTCATGTCATCCCAAGAGATGGGTGGAATTAATATTTAATCAAATTACAAGTATTATCTGATAAAAAGTACTACACACAAATAAAAATTAAATTGCATTTTCCAATACAGCATGTTCAAAGACTTTACATTGCTTGGCTTCCATGTTTTAGAGTGTAAATATGGCCAACATCTTAACCAATCCAGTCACAGCAAACCTTACTACCATGGCAACTGCAATACCACAGGAACAACCAATATTAGTGCATGGTGGGAATTTGGAGGTCACTCCCTCTTCCCAGCCAGATGTGCTTGTTACAGGGCCTCAGTTTACAACAGAGCAGTTAGTAGAAGCAGGCTTGGTACCTAAACAAGACCATGTTTGACAGATGGCTTAGCTAGACCATTGTTTACTAATCAGCTACAGGTTGCATGCACCATTATTTATCATAACTTTAATTCGATCTGTAAAATGTAGTGAAATTAATTATATTAGTGCATTTTAAAATTAATCGATGTCCCTCTTTAAGATTTCTATTTAATCTTGAATTCTATATTTTCTCAGCAGAGCAAGAAGAGACCAACAAGTAATGATCAGCAGGACTGAGGGGGAAGGAACCAGTTTATACAGCATAGAGGAACCAGATAAGATGATATATCATGTATACATGTTTGCATTTTCCCATTTGTGTTAGTGGAAATATGCATTGGAAGGTGGATGTTTGAGAACTTAAAATTAATTTAATTATTGTGATGATTGAGATTTGCATTTGTATCTGAACAATTTTCTCTTTATTTGTGGTCGCATTTGTACATTTAATGAATTATTCAGTCATTGTTGCCTATGGGTAAGATATCTGTAATTTTGTGTGAAACTCTTAGAGATGAAATTAAATGTGTATAGACTGTGTTAATAGCAAATGTTTACATGTTTACAAATATATGTTGCTCCCTGATAATTTTAATTGCAACTAATTTCTCATTGAACACTTTTTCACCACATTATTAAATCTATTTATTTTGATAAATGTAATGCTTTTTCTACATCTTGGGTTTTTGTCACCAATTTTTTTTTTTAAGGAAAATAGGAATTTTGTCAGTCTAATGAATGAATGAATTTCACAAACTTTTTTGATAATGTTTGATAGATGATATGGTCTTCTGAAAACTTTGCCGACCAAAATATTGGTGTTGTAACTGGTGTCCAGGATAAAGTAATCATCATTATGTGTTAGGGCATTTATTTTTTTAAGTAAGATTTTCTCATATGGATTTTATGACACATCTGACTTTTTGATCAAATTGTGTGTCAACAGCAAATAAAAGATGTACATCATTTCCTTTGTTTGTTCTTAACTGTACTTACTTATAAACAGTGTTTGAAACTCACTGTAAAATTAGCTAGACATACAGGGCTGGCTGCTAGTAAAAGTAGTCAGCCCTGCCTAAGATCTACTAGACCAAGAAAAATAATTGTTATTTTATAAATTTGATTTTAGCAATTATATGACTGGGACCAGGTTGCCTTAACTTCAGTCACAGATGTAAAACAGACAAATTCTGCCCCTTGGTTTGTTACCAATACTATTTGATGATTTGTAAGAGATTTATCAAATACAGTTGAACTTCGAAATCTCAAACTTTGAAATCGCAAATACCATGGATATGTCGAAGTGTTTTAGAAGTCCATACCCCTTATTAGGGCCCTGCAAGGATTTGTGGGTGCCTATAGTAATCACTCTGTCTGTCCGTCTGTCATTCTTCCGTCCACAAATTTTCTGTTTTTTTTAAATAACTTTTTTAAGGGTTGACCAATTAAGTTCAAATTTTGTATGTTGGTTGAATAGGCAGTAAGACATATTTTGATGCTAAGTTTGGTTCTCTGTGTCGTTTGGTTTAGAGCTGGGGCGGTGGGGTAGATTCCTTAACTTTATATTAGAGTGAATGGGCAAAGAGAGATAACTGCTGCGAATGTTCTTATTGTAAACAATGAAGGGCTGCAATGAGTCTCTTGGGATTAATTAACTTTCCTCTTGAAGAAAATCCAAAGCATTTATCTTTATCTGTCACATTGAGATAAATTAAACCCTCTGTCTGCATATGAAGTTTGTTTTGAAGTTAAAGTCAATTCTGAATGATGTTAACATTCTCTGAAATGTGGATTTAAATAATGTTCATACTTTATTTTGGTAAAATACACAATGACTCATGAATGAGTTATGATTTTATTGGATTCTAAAAACAAGATATAAAAGATATCTTTACTACTTTTTTCTTTTTCTTTCTTTTTTTCTGCCTTATGTAAATTCAAGAATACTATTTTTTAAACAGGTATTCAGATAATAATCTCATTCTATCATTGCAGAAAAAGTTCTTGTAAACTTAGAAGAAAAGGTTGAGAGAGCAGTATAATTACCGTAATCCCCTGGGATTGATTATCTTGCTGGTTGCAGAAAATTTTAGATGGTTATCTTTCTGTCACTTTAAGATTAATTAACACCTTTGGTTGCAACTGATGTTTGTTTTGAAGTTAAGGTCAAGCCTGGGTGATATTTGCATTCACTGAAGGCTGGCATTTTAGAAAACACATGCTTCATTCCTCTTAAAATATACATTTAATTGAATTATTATAGAAAATTATATGGAACTACATCATGCATATTTTACATGTGTATTTATGCATATTCATGGTCAAAAGGAGCAACCCTGTTATTTGTAACTACACTGAAATTACCGATTTTTGGTTTGCAACTCAACTTTTCCCAAGATACACTAACTGCAAGCTTAATACTCGTAAACTTTGTATGCAAGATAGTTTTGATTTGAATATTTAGTCAGAAAATTCCAAAATAAGAGCAGGGTGGCCTACTTTTGGGTTGCTACACACATTTTCCCCAAAACGAATCAATAGATGAAATCTGGTGCATCTATTGTGCATTTGTAGACATTTTCCTCCCAAAATGCTACTCTTGCTTGAGTCTTTGACTACCGGTATTTCATATGCTGCATATAGAGTACAAATCTGGGGTTCACTTAAAAAAAATCTAATCGAAAAACATCTGAATTCTTGCATAGTAGCTCCACCTTAAGCCTAAGTTCATAATTAGAACAACCATTGATTTACACTTCATTGGGATGCTTGAATGTTACAGCCTGAAATTTTATAATGATTTTTCAAATATTTCCAAGCTGAAACTTAATATCTCCCTTAGCCTTGTTGGTCAAGATTGAAACAAATGAGAATTAACTTCCAATAAGGAATTTTTGCATACATTTGAACTCTTGTCCCAGCGATTCTGTTTGGGATAAGAAATCTTAATACCAACCCCTATATTCCAACTCTATATTCTAAGTCTGTTGCTTTTGATGGTTATCAAAACTATCATTAGAACATTCGACAAACATTAGTTCGTTGGTTAAAATCAAACGTGGGATTTGGTTCAGAACTGTATTGTTAAACAGGGGAGAAAGGAGAAAGAAAGAGGGGGAAATTTGGCTGTAGTGTGAGATTTCCCTTTGGGGGGTAAATCCTACTCTAGAGTATAGATTCGGGGAGGGGAGGGCTAGCTATGGTGAAATTCCACTCTACAACACCGGTAAATGCAACATTTAGATTGTCATGTTTTGAATTTTATTTAGTTCTATCCAGGTAAATTAAAAATTTAATTAACATGGCACAACAATAAATACATGTAAAATCATAAACAATTCATATCAAATAGACTCGTAGGAGAGCAATGAACGTTTTATGTACCAGAATATGTACGTGCCTCCGTCGCTTATCTGCGTGGGGAGGCAGGGGTGAATCCTGGATTTTTTTGGGGGGGCTCCGCATGTCAGATATATATAAAAATATATATTAAAAAAAATTGTTCAAAGCTTTACAAAAAATCTTTTTCGTGGTAGTGGTGGTGGTGGCTTGGATGGGGGATACTTTCCTAAATCAATTGGGGGGAATAGGAAAGGACAATTTCCTAAATCAATTTTTTTCAAATTCTCTCATTACCGTTGTTAGGGGGGGTCTTTTTTCCCAAGGGGGGGGGGGGTCCAAGGAATTTTTTCCGTGATTTTTACGTAGAAATTTGATAACTCTGAAAATTAAAATCACAACAAACTGTTGGAACTCCGATGGGCACTAATTGTGCTCGTTTATTAGCTGACTTGTTTTTATACTCCTATGAAGTAGAATTCATTCAAAAAACTCTACATGTGAAGAAGAAAACACTTGCTGTGGCCTTCAACTCGATATTCAGATTTATTACATACTTAGTAATACATTCAGGATTTTTGCATATGCGATATGCCTGAAGTCACAATAGCTGTATCGGCCCTGCAGGGCTGATACGGATCAATATCACACCCCTAGTAAATCAAACCTTTAAAAAACAGTGCGTAAAATAAAATACACGTATTTTTTTTTTTTTTTTTGGGGGGGGGGGGTCACATTCTTTTAATTTCAAATTACTGTTCTTTGATACAGTAAGCTACATACATGTCAGTAGTCAGTGCATGAATCCAGTATCGGTATGGTAATTCGAATTGAATTGAATTTTGGTTGTTGAGAATATTGATTATTCATTTGTTTTTTCTCAAGTTCACGTGTGCTGTATTTTATTATTATGTATATAATAAACATAATAAAACATACCCTTTTCCACGTCACATCCTGTATCAGCTCTCGGCCAATATCAGCCCTCGGGCCTTCGGCCCTCTGGCTGATATTGGTGTCTCGGGCTGATACAGGATGTAATATGGAAAGGGTATGTATTATTCTCTATAAATCGACGACGTTTTTTCAATTAACAACTCGATATATCCCAGTGAACCTGAAATAAAAGATTTCACAGAGTCTGTCACATCTGTTTCATATTTGGATGTTTTACTGACTATAGACGATAAGGGTCAACTAACAACTACATTGTTTGACAAACGAGATGACTTCAGCTTTTCTATCGTCAACTTTCCTTACCGTATTCATGTTGTAATATTCAGCCATCACCATCATATGATGTTTACGTCTCCCAACTTATTCGATACTCAAAAGCTTGCTCTGAGCACGAACCGATCTATTCTCTTTAGAGAAGTGGACAGGCTTTCGCCTACATGGATGTAGGCGAAAGCCTGTCCACTTCTCTAAAGAGAATAGAACCGATCAAGCTACTGACAGATAAGTTGATGTTACAGAGATTCAAACAAACTCATTTCAAGTCAGCATGCATATCGTAAATTTTATGACCGTTATAATGACCTTGTTAATAAATATAACCTATCATTGGGTTGTATTTTGGCTGACGTGTTTCATGTATACTAATTCACCCCTACTAATGTGTTCGGAACATTTTATTTTTCGGTGTTCTGCAAATTATAAAATCCGAGGAGTTCCCAGTAGCTCTCACAGTAGCTCTGGCGAGATCTAGCGAGACTACAACGAGATAAGGTAAATTATTCACGGAAATATGGCTAGGAAGTGACTAGCACGTGGAGACATGGTAAACAGAAAAGTTATCTTGCGTTTCATTTTTCACCACTGAATAATATATGTAAAATTGTATTTTCAATCTCTCTTGAATTCAGTCAAACGTCAATAAGTAAACTTCATTACATTCTTTTCTGCACTCATGTATTAAAATTTCTTTTTGGACAAGCATGCTTGCATGTGAAATGGGACTATATGTTTTGGCGTCAGAGTACATGTAGCAAATGGGGTACCGATATAGCTTAATCTGAATGAGTTGAATTGCTTTGTGGGTTACTATGGATACTACAGAAATTTTACGCTTGGAAAAAAAACAAGGCGATCGAAAAGGCACATAGGACATTTTTTTTCCATGCATTTGGATGCTTTTCCATGCTGTCCATTTTTATTCTATTATTTCGATGCCCACAATTACAAACAATTCATTTGTAACACGTTTAATAAACGTGGAATTCTAGGTTTCTCAAAGTCATACTGTAACTAAGGCCACTGGCGGATTTAAAGGGGGCGTGGGGGGCGCACGCCCCCCCCCTAAAATTTTCAAAGTACGACATGACTAATATTAATAATGCCATACTTTGGTTTTATAATTAATGGTCAATTAAAAAATGGTAATTTTATTTATTGATATCGGTTTTCTTAAAAATCAAGTCTGAAAACCTTGCATTCCCTAGGCTATGAATATTATCTCATAATTATTCAAACCGGAAAACGTCTCCCGATTTCGTTTGAAGGGAAGACTGCACTTGTCAATTTCCTATCATGATGCAAGGAAAAATACTGCAATATTTAAAGGCTGGTCGAAGGTAAATAAATGAATTTAAAATCAGACGGTCTACGTTACAAACCCGTTCACTGGT